TTTGTTCTAATTTGACGATTTCTTGTTTTCGCTCAGCCTATTTATATAATTAAACGTAGTTAAATTAAGAGAAAAATGCGAATTAAGAAATGTTTAAATTACTTATACGATTGAAGCAAATCACGAATCTACATTAATAACAACGAATCCGGAAAAGTGTTCCAAAGCAAAGAATTACTAACTTACGTAACCGGTAGCTGTTTACTCAGTTATCTAAAATGCAAGTTATAGTATGCCTCATCTCAGCTGTCGCATATTGCGGCACGAATCTTCGTATTAACAAAATTTATCAACAAATTCGTTAATGTCGTACCATACTGCAATGATATATTCGCAATATATATTATTAATAAGTTTAATTAAATAAATTTAAATTAAGCCAAGGTGTAGTTAAAATACATTTAGATTAAGCCAAACTAATTTGCAATCATATTTGTAATAATTACAATATACTATTATTTAAAAAAAATTTACTGAACCAGCTTTTCTAGAACGTACCAGATCATTCAGCATGAGATCTAAAATATCATTTCCGCCGACCAGCAGTACGGAGCCGCAAGCCTGATTCCAACTAGCAATCCATTTATCAAAATATTCTCCAGCTTGGCTGATTCTCTCCCGTAAATTCCCAAAGGCTTTGGCCTTGGCCACACCATCGCTGACCGACACCGATCGCCTGTACTCGTTCTGCATTTCCGGTTATAATATTTTTTTTTATAAAATGTGCGCACGCTCCGCAATCCCCGAAACTATTTCCGCTGTCAGTAAAATCTTCCGCAAAGGAGGTCGGATAAAAGGCGGAACTCGATGGTGGTAAAATGGTATAAATGTATCGGCAATCACAGCGGTGGAAAATATGCAAGAGTTATCTTTAGTGCTTCCAGTGCAACAAACTGTATACAACAGCTTTTGATGAATTTCAACATGTGTGCTAATGTACATACCGAGTACAGACGCTATGGCTAATGCGTCTACAGCACTGACATTCTAATCTGTAATTTGTTTGACTGGCCATAGATAACTCAGAATACCGCGACTGTCCTTGGCCGACGTCTGACTCGTAAGCGCGTACATATAGTATTTATATAGATATAAATAAGCTGGAGGCAATAATAAATGCAAAAAGAATGGCGCAACCTGTTAAAATGCGTTAATGAAATAAACACTATCCTATCTAAAGAGCATAATTTAGTGCTAAACGGCAAAATGACCGTCTTGTATCCAAGTGGTGGCGGCAAATGCATTTTAACGTTTTAGCGTGTTATATGCGGATACAGCGCAGAGGATTATGTGCATAATTTCAGTTTTATAAACAAATAGCGAACACCAAAATAAAATTGATATCAGTCATCTTAAACCATACGAACAAAAATCCTATAAGAAAAAGGAGAAATCTTCCACTTCGCGCTAACAAAAAGAACAATACGTACTAATAGAATTATTTCATATCTGTATATGGATTATTGATAGTGATATCCATAACACTGCATTATTTGTACCATGACCGGTACAATACTTGATATAATGATCTCTCATCGGCCATACTTGGGCATGAATCTAAAACAAACCGCGGTTGTGAACCAATGCCGATTTAATGACAACTATTGATTTTAATGATTTAGTTTTTTAGAAGTGTTTTGGTTGAGGTGACCTCGCTTAAAAATATAGCGAGTGTGAATTTGCAACTACATACGTGTACGGATACGAGTGCGTGGAAAATCGATTTTACTTGTTGCTAGGACAAGACAGGATAGCCGGACGGCATCCCGGTCATCAACGCAGATGGTCGCGACATGTTGAGCTGAACAATGAGACGAAACGCTTTGAGCTCATCCTGACAGCGAACCGGCTGGATTTGTCTGACAAGGACGGCAAGCGGCCGGATGGATGACTTTGATTCCTGTGCGAAGGAAAGGCCGTATGGGATGCAACTTGTTGACATTGTGGCCGTGTCGCATGTGCATGCTAGCTCCTGAAAGCCGAGTCGCACAACTGGCGGAAAATTTCAAGCGGCAGTACGCATTCGTCGAGGCTTGGATATTTTTCTGTCTGGCGGTCGAGACGTTCGGAACTTTTGGAACATCGTTTGCGGAACTGATTTTGTTGGCCGGAAGATCCGCGATACAGGAGAGCCTAGATCCACGGCCTTTTTAAGACAGCGATTACGTTTGGCTGTGTAAGAGAAACGCAGCAGCTGTTTTACCTTGAGTGCACATCATAAGATTGTGAATGACAATGATTAGGTGTTTCAATGTTTAAAATTTAATCATTTTAGTGTAAATGGAAGCATACCGATATTAAAACTTTTGTTAAAAATTTTGCAATCGTTACACGATGGAGTTGCACGATCGGACGGCAGTCACGTTAACTCAGTCGCTTCTGGAACGTTCTTCGCTTAGTTTTAGCCTTTTAGACAAAATAAAAACTCGTAACATCTTTTTGATCTGTAACTTCGACGCGGCGAAATTTTTGTTGTTGCTGGTAATCTGCATGACAATTTCATACTCGTATAGAAGTTACAATGCCTTGTACTCGACGCAAGAACCATCAGAGTGGCAGCAGAGCGCCCCGCAGAACAGTTCCGCTGCAGTCCGAAGACAGCGAAAACATGCCATCGTCCAGCACTTCGCAATCTGTTAACACACACCGCGCTGGCGACGGTGGCAATTTGAACTCGACACCCTACTCTTGCCGATGGCGTGAATGCGATTTCAAAACGTACCAACCGGAGAATTTCCTTAATCACCTGCGGAACCACGCGAAGCCGGCAAAGGATAGCTCAAACGGACTATGCCTTTGGAAGAACTGCAGTGCTTGTGAAAGTCGTCAGATGCGCCTGCCCGTCCTGCAGAAGCACATGGCCGAAACGCACATGCCGAAGAACCAGTTTCGATGCCCGATGGATCGCTGCAATAAATCGTGTAATACTCCCAAAGAGCTGGTCTATCATTTAGAATTAACCAACCATTCCGCACCGAGGAAGAGTGTTCGAAAGGATCGCAAACTGGACGATCGTTCAGCTGGGCAGTTTCGCTCGACGCTCATCACATTTCTGGGTACGGTAACCTTTATCTCTGATCACTGGGTACGGTAACCTGTATCTCTGATACGGTTGACGATCGTGCTCACATTAGATTTCGTCAAATTGTATATTAATCAAAAAAATTTGTATTATTCCGGAGCATAATTTATATTTCAAAAGTTGAGTATTCATTTATTTTTTTGCAACTGACCACAGTTGTAATTTTACGTAGGCGCTGCACATGCTTTTTTCTATAACAATAATAATTATTGTAGGCACAGCAGCGGAGCAGCAGCGCAGAAAAGTAGCCATGAAAGTGCAACAGTATTTGCGCGAAAGAGGGATTGTCTATGCAGCACACCTGGATGAATATCTCGTGCAAGTATACCTAACGGTAAGCAGATTTCTGGTGCTTAGCTCCCAATCGAGTCGGCCTCAAGTTTTAATAATTTTGTTACATATTTTAGTATATTACAATACTTAGGTGGTGTGCATACGATGTTGTAAATTTGTAATTGTGGCACATAAGATGTGACACTGTAATTAACGAAAGTCGGCGCTTATTGTTTTAGCCTGTACAGACCGCGGAAGGGCCAAACTGGTACAAGGTCCATTTTCCTTTCGCACAGGATTCTGAGGAATGGTAAGTCGAAGGCTGTAAATTTGAAAGCTAACTGTAGCGCATTTGTATAAATCCTGTCACATCTTTTTTGTTTGATGACTGTATATTATTATTATTTTTTGTGTTGACCGTAACGTTACTTGTTTAGTATTGTCTTGGTATAGGGTGAATGATATCGCGATAGAATACGCCCAGAAAAACCAAGGAACCAAAACGATCCGCACTGAACTACCGCTGTCGAATCCTATATTTAAAGAGCCACTCCGCTGGTTTGTTAAAAGCGTGGTAGAAAATATGGAGTTCAGAAATTCCGATGTGGGTTAGCAGAAATCGGGATTGAGATTTGTTTGCGCGTGTTGGTTCATTTGCTCAAGAGTCAGACAAAATGTTCGCCCCTGAAACTGGCCTCCAAACATCGGTGCGTCAGTGGCTTTTCACCCCAAGGAAGGCCAACAAAGCCCATCTGTTTTACTGCTGAAATTTTGATTCATTTTAATTGGTTTATACTTTATAGGCAGCGCACGCTTATTGTTCTTTATATGGGCGTTTGCCGAACCTTGGAAATTCTAGTTTTGTGATGTACTCGTTTGTGTGTATTTAATAGCGGCGCTGTGCTGCTTTTTTTGTTATTGTCAGCGTTACTCAGATTTCGAGCTCCTGACCAATGCATTGTTTATTTGTTCTATGGCATAATTGTCTGCAAATTGATTTCAAATTTTCAAGTGGCGTTACCAAAGTTTTGTTGTTGTATCCAGCTATGCTGTCATTGCAAACCCTTCGTGTAAACATACAAAATTTAATGATGGAAACTCCACCTAACTTTGTAAGTTTCTGTAAGAAATCAATCCATAATACAACTTGACAAAAGCAAAGTTTTGGGGGACGTTTGTGTATTGTTTGCCGGCATTGCCATAGTCTGTATGAGCAGTGAGCACCCATTTTCTTCGCCTTTGCACATTAAAAACAAGAAAACTGGCAGCGGATTTTTTCGCCTTAGACTTCATTTTGGCTTTCAGTATTCCCATTTCGTAGCTGATGCACTATCAGTTTCAGAAGTTTCGGATTAAAATATTTTTCCAAATACAAAATCAAAAATAAAACTAGAGAGGCTTGAGAAAGCCGGTAATGTAACTGCTACCTCGTGGAGCTGCCGCGGGGTGGAACGAGACGTAAAAACGGGCGTCATTAAAATCTTTGCTCGCCTTGGTATGGCTGACTCCACCCTTTATATTTTATCCGCGCTTGCAGTGGCTTACTTCCATACTGGTCTCGAATTGGAGAGCTTTGCAGCGCCAGTTATCGTGGCGAACTGGTTCAGTTCAGTCCGTATAAACGCATACGCGAATACCGCTGTTCGGCACTAAAATTATTTGCAGATTTTAGTTTCCGCAGTTTTCTAACACACAGGAGTGTTGGTTCCAGGGATTTTTTATCATCTTGTCCGCGGCTGATTGGCCGTAAGTTGATCCAAGATTCTGTTCTTTTCCAGTTTAACGGAAGTTTTGCTTCCAGGAACGCCGAAATGCAGATCTTCGTGAAAACTCTCACGGGAAAGACCATCACCCTTGAGGTAACCGTACGGCGTACGCTGATAATTTTGCTGTGGATCCTTCCAGTTCCCATCTGTAGCACAGAATAAGATCTTTGTTAATGAGTTAGTTAATAACTTTTTGTGTCGGGCAGGTCGAACCTTCGGATACCATTGAGAATGTGAAAGCGAAAATCCAGGATAAAGAAGGTAAATAAGAATCTTTCTTCGTTTCGCTCTCGTTGCTGTCGAGGGATAGCTGATCATTTAGTCATCCCTGTTCAGTATAGTAAATAGCCGTATAACCTGTACAGGGACATTGTGACGCCGCCACTTTAGGTTCTCTGTACTTAATCAGTTATGACTTTCGGTGATAGTTAATTCACGCGATAATATTGATTCTAATAGCGCTTTGAAATGTTACTTAGGTATTCCGCCGGATCAGCAGCGTCTGATATTCGCTGGCAAGCAGCTGGAAGATGGCCGGACTCTTTCTGACTACAACATTCAGAAAGAGTCAACTCTCCACTTGGTCCTTCGCCTGCGCGGTGGTGGTAAGAAAAGGAAGAAGAAGAACTACACTACCCCGAAAAAGATCAAGCACAAGAGGAAGAAGGTCAAGCTAGCGGTCCTGAAGTTTTACAAGGTACGTCATAAAATGTTAGAAAGGAATCTGCCCTGAATGGACTCATTGACATTAATTTATTTAGGAATTAGGAGTTTGATATTTAATAAAAATAAGTTTAAATTTATTTCTTTGCGGACGCATTACATTTTAAATTGTTGCAGTTGCACTCTGCTTCTAAATTTTGTGCCTGAAATTATATCTTCGCTAATGCGTTATGCGTGTGCTGTACATTTGAATATTTCAAAAAATTATTTATAATGCGAGTGAGTAGAAGCGTGTTAGGCAGTGTCGAAAGTTTGACTTCGGTAAAACATTCGGCAAACTGCACGCGCACTTTTAAGCTTGTCAGGTTTAACTGGATAAGCGCTGTCAGTGCCTTTGTTTCTTACCATTTGCTTGTTTAATATTCGTAATAAGTATTTGGACTGTTCTCACTACATCATCATGTTTGTGCTGCAGATCGACGAAAACGGAAAGATCACTCGTCTGCGCCGGGAATGCCCGAACGAAGAATGTGGCGCCGGGACTTTCATGGCCAATCATTTTAACCGACAATATTGCGGGAAGTGTTATTTAACATACGTGTTTCAAGAAAAGGGTGCTGGTGCTGGGACCAGTAAGGAGAAGTAAAACCATCTCTCATGTCGCATTGTTTTATTTGTTTTGTATTTCGGATGAGCAGATTCAAATTAAAACGATGTGAATAGTACTACCAGTGTCATCCTTCTCCCCCGCTGATCTGCTACTGCAGCGGCAAGTCGTGTTCGTAAATTAATACGAAAACGGGTGCGCTTTGTTGGAATTACTGTACACTCACATTTTAACAATGTGTAGATTGCTACAATTCAGAACGATAGCTTATGCAGCTAAAATGGCCTAGACTTAATGTGTTTTTAACGAATTTATTACGTCATGTTATATCCATTACATAGCGATCGGTCCTCGTTTCTCCAAGCGACACCAGCAACATTTGCCGTATGATAATTGCCAATGATAGTAGACTAGTAGCAGACTAGCTGTCGCTACGCGCTAGCATTTCCATAAATTCATTCAAGGTCGAGGAGATACTTTATTATATTCCAGTTTCCGATTCAGCATTAATGGCGCTCACTGCTCAACTCGAGCAAATACAGTACAAATTTGCAGCTGTGCATAAAAATAGTTACAAAGTAATAAGAAAGATCTGTTCGTCAGATCACGTGCATTGTGCATAATTTATTGGTAAAGATATTAATGAGCATGCGATGACAACGCATTAAAGGATTCTACGCACGAGTATAAGTACTTCGGCAAATTACATATAATTGAAGTTTAATTCTTGCAGTATTCCAAATTCTTTATCCTGAACTTCGAACAATCAAAATGTAAAATTATGTGTCTATTAAAGTATTTGAACTTAAACAATCAGTTCCATTAGGTCGTTATTATCATTAAATATACAAACAACCAGTAGCAGTATTTTGTACATCGTCATGCATGCAAAGGACGATGGTCGACCGGCGAATTATCATTTGTGTCAGTACTCTGTATCTGCAAGCTTAATTGAAGGCGAAATAAATCAAAAGCATAAAAATTTAAATGATATAGTAGTAACTGAAACTAGTCGGATTTTAAAGGAATTAAATAAAAAATAATAATCGGATTCAAAGTAAGTATAGGTGCTTAATTAATTTGAGATACAAAGGTCAATTCGAGATCAGGTTAACATCACGGAATATACAACACCGCGGTGTATCCCAACGTCGGCGTTCTGTGTATTCACTTCCGGCCGAGGAATTCAATGGGCTCCGGGTCGTCGTTGATGGCGCGCTTCCTCAGGAAATCATCCTGATCGTCGATGACATTGATGGCGCTGTAGTAGGGCATCCGTTTACCTACGAGTAATCGGATATGACCACCGGCTGGCTCAGGTCGCAGCATCTTGGTCGACTCATTCCTACCGGATACGGAGCGTAGTCCCAGGCCCGGACGGGGATACGGCAGATAGGCCGCCCGCGGAAACACACCGCCATACTGTGCCGGGTAGGCTACAAACATTTCACAGTATAATTCATGGTAAACAAAAGCTTTAAGAGTATTGAATCTGTAGAAGTACATGAGTGTATGTACAGATACGTAGTGACATATTTTATAAGCATTCAAAAGAGCAACCGGTTCATGCTGGATTATAAAAAAAATGTAATTGTGTGAAATTAATAATGTATGACCAACATAAGATGGCATTGAAATTTGTTATTAATAAGGTCAAAAAATTTTACAATAATTGCTTCTCTACCAAGCGTCCATAAATGACAATACAGTATGATTAACTCACTTCGCAATAATTAACAAAACGGGGATCAGAATATAAGGTCGACACTGGTTAGCGTTACAACATTAAAACTGAAATAAAATAAATAAGTAAGTACACAACTTGTAAACCATAAAAACTTCAAAAGCGGATTTCATAAATTTATTTTATGGTTATCTTAAGCGATGTATAGAGATCAGTACGGTTAGCATAATATAATACCAGCGTCAAACTTGCAATATGCTGCGTAGTATAAAGAAAACAGGTAACAGCAAAAGATATCCGTTATTAAAAGGTCAACAGTCAAAGAATATAACATCCATAACCAAATTCGCACCACGCGCATATTCGATCAGTAAACTCATTTACTGTGGATGGGTTGGCGTATTTTCACTCACTTGTCAGGTCTAAAACTTATAATATTATACTGAACATTGATATACAGAGTGTTATAAATATTTTGCAATACAAGATAACAAAACTACGGAAAATTTTGTATTCTCGATATTAAACTGCTTACGTCCTACGATTAGAAATTCTACTGCACAGTATTGTTCGAAACAATAAACTCGTATTCAGCTAGTATTTGACGAACAAGGCAAAGTTACATGTACGTGTCCCCAGTAATCGGTAAACGACTAAACGTCTCGGTTGTTCGTAATGATCAGCTCAGAAAAAGCAAGTTTTTTTTCCCCAATAGGTGAGCGATACTTTCGCGATACGATACAATTATGATATAACCACAGATATTATTGCAGCTTATTGTTCGATGCTTATTGTAAGTGCTTACCAGCTTCCGGCCAAGGCGCAGCAAAGCAGCTGACGGTCAATACCACAATCAAATAACTGACAGAAAGTAGAATCAGAGCCTTAGAAAATACCATGGTGTTCATTTGGCGGATGACAAATCAGAAGAAAAAATGTAGCAGCACGGATGATGAGCTATATAATACCAATGTAATGTCCACTACACACCCAAAAATTGCCGATTTAGCAGAAATATTGCCGACACATCGATATAACTTCAATAAAAACCGATCTTCTTATATACCAATCATTTACCTACCAGCGTCCTAAATTTGATTAAATTTACCAGGATATATTGAATGCGGAAAAAATACTCCACACCGTGCTGCCGGCCTCTCAGTGACCTTTTTGAGTATGGTTGAACGAAATCGATTTCCGTCCACTTCGCCAACAATCAGCCGCTGCTACAGCAAACAGCCAACAGTACCGGAGCCGTGTAATCATCGACATCCATTGAAACACCTGTTTCTTGTGGATTATGAGATTTTACCTTTTGTTGGAGCTCATTTTCCACTATCATCAGGCACGCGGATGTAGGCAACGTCGGCCGTTTCCTCCCAGCCTACATTTTTACGAGTAAAACGCTTTTATTCGATTGGCTCAACAGCGCATCAAGGACGTCGGTGTACGTACTATCGGACAAATTAGAAATCGTTCCAGCGTCATAAAACCACTTCCGCTACTGTTGAAATCGCATCCCACACGAACATTGTCCATAATAACACAGGAACGCAATAATCGTCATCCGCCTGATCCCCGATTTTTGCGAGAAATACATGTAATATTAATGCGTTCTTTTTAGCATTGGAAATTAGTTTTTGCTGAGGCGGATTGATTCTCATGTAGTGTTAATTCGGAAAAGTAGTTCAAGTAGGCCTTTTATTCCGAAAAAAACAATACAACTTTGCAATAAACTCCGTCCGGAAAATAAACAACAGCATAAACCTGAACGTAATATCACCATGTCCCTGCATGGCACAAATTAACATCGATAGTACTGTCACAACAGACAAGAGGATCATCACAAGGCAAAATTTAATACATTTGGATCAAGAACGGTGTAAAACTGAAGACTGACTGACAAATGCTGCTCAGAATGTAGCAAAAATAAAGCAAGTCACGACGGAAAACTTCTTTTTCGGAAGCACCAATTATTCTCCAACAAATAATAAATTGTACAAGGAACGAAGCTCCGCATTCCAGACTAAAATAACAACAAACAAAATTAAAACTGCTTCAGATAAGCGGATCTAAATTACGTACACTGCACCAGTTTGAACGTATAAAACGTGAATCAAACTAATCGAACCTTATAAAACATTTCGCCAGATTTTTACTTAGGTATTTGTTAGCTAGAACAGCAAAATCAAAAACAGTAAGCATAGAGCAATAATTTTTTAATTGTCAAGTAAGTATATAACAAAAATTCCCGGTGTAACAGTTCTCATCCATAATAGCTAGAAAATTACCTCTTATCCCAAGGCTTCGTCAATATCCCGATCAAAAGCCCGCAGCATATCCGTTACTGTGCCGCGCTTCATCCGTACGGGCCGACCACTACTGGATATCTCCACTCGCACTTCCTCCCTTTTCGCCACAATTTCCGGCTCGGAGCGCTTCGGACGTCCGCGACGAACGGCCTTATCACCTTTTACTTCCGATGCCCCGCTACTCTTGTCAGTCAACTCCTCGACATCATCCCGGTCCGCTGGGACGGGATCCACACGACGCACGAAAGCGGTTGTGGTGGGTGCCGTCAGTGTGGATAATTTGATCAGCGCTTCCACCGCTTCCATCTTGGAGGCCTGCTGCATCTGCTCGAGAAGGTTAACCGACGGTAGTTGGAGGATTGGCGGAGCCTGGCTGATGGCCGCATAGGCGTGGGGTTCGTCGTCGGTTTTGTAATGCTGACGGGAATGAGACTTCCTGACACGATAGAAAACGGGACGTCGCGCGCTTGCGGGTGATGGTGCAGTCCGCCGGGGTTTGGCAACGGGTTGTTTTGTTTTGGGTGCAAATGCGACGGTGGGCGGCTTTGTGGGAAGCCTGTACTCATCCATATCTTCGATAAATTCTTCCTGCAGAAATGGAACAATATTAAAACAAGCTGAACAAACTGAACAAATGGTATGACATAAGTCAGCCGTTAAGTTCCAGTATGTTGACGGTGATATTCTAAGTCAGGTTACGTGGCATAAGTCTTATAAATAACCGCAGACGGTTTTCATAAATAACTTACACGTTGATTAAAAAGTAACCCATGTATAATACAAAAATTTATTACATCGTATAAAAGCCTTATCTGCATTTGATTTTATAAACTGTTCCTTAAATATACCGATATTCAATGATACCTATCGTTAATCTTCTAATCTCAAATTAACTGCGAAGTGTTGTAGTATCACTCACCTCCGGGACATCTTCGTCCATATATCCATCTGCCGCGGCACTATCTGTGCCATTCGAGAGCTCGGAAAATTTTGCAACCGGCTCTAACAAATCGGTCGTACATTGATCCGGTTTATTTTCTTGCTGTCGTTTTGCCGCTTTTTGCTGCTGCTTCTCCAGTAAGGATGCCGCGAAGGAACCAATTCCCGTGCTGTTGGCTTTAGCCGTGGAGATTCTCTTCGGGGATCGCGGGGATTTGTGCCGTTTGCGCGGAGACACGTATGTGCTACGTGGAACGTAGGAGCTTGTGCGAGAATCCAACTCATTATGGTGATTTGTACGCAGATAGTCGACAATTTGCGGAGAGATCAGGTCTTTAAATGCCTTTTCGCTGTTCTCCACGTTCTGAAAAAAGTACCAAAATGCTGGAGTAAGGTACTGCATCACATCACTAAACAAATATTTTGTGGAAATTTAAAACAAAACCTATCTTGCAAAATTAACTCAGTTAGTATTCTTGGTTAATTTTGCAAGTTAATCAATTTAAATTAATTAAACCCTCACTTAAATTAATTAAGCGATATTTTCATGCATGCAGCCGTACAATAAACCAAATGCAATTCCCAGTGTACTACGAGTAATACTTGTAAGTAAAAACCGACAAAAAACGCCAAAGTGAAATAAGTCTTGAAACATTATAATTCAAACACTCACGAGTTTACAACGGCGCAAAACAGTCCATTTTCGTGTACGTGTAATGAAAACAGAAGTTGCAACTAATGAATTATGAGGAAGTGTTAGGCTTTCTGCACAAAAACGGACGTAGGTTTTGTAAAACATATCTTCTGCAGCCTTACCATGATATCTCGAAGAGCACTGACCAAATCCAAAGCTTCCACGGTCTTAGTCACAACGGCCACGTACTCATTATCCTTTTCAAGACGGCGTTTCATATGACAGTTCCAGTGATTTTTCACACGGTTGTCCGAACGGCCTTCCAGTGCACGGAGATTTTGGCCCACTGCGGACCCCATACTCTCCAGCAACTGAAAATCATCACTTCCTCGGCCAACGACCATTCTCCCTTTTTCAAATCAGGCCGCAAATTATTGTGCCATCTAAAACAGGAGCGAATAACACGTTAATGATCTTGTAGTTGTAACTGGTAAATGTAAGCCACAAAACAAATGTTCATAACGATAAACTAAAGTCTCACAATCAGACACCGATAAGATCACTCGAAACACAGCGCTCGCACATCGAATTTTAGCGTAACAAATTAAAAAGCTGAACAAAATCAGAAAAATACCAAAAATGATTATGAAAATTAGCAAGATTTGTTAACTAACTAATATGGAAAGAAAATCACAAATAACCATTACCGCAGCCGAAACAGGATAACTGCATGATAAACCATGCAACGCTCGCTTGCATTCTACAAAATGCAAACGAATGCATATTCCAATATTCGCGATTATTCGGTACTCATTTTTCGTGCGATGCGCGATAGCAAGCGGCACACCGCACACACCTGGACGACTGCTACGGACGACTGACGATTCTCGCCAGGATGGTACCCTGTGGCGGTTGGCAGCCGTGCGCCTACACGCGTTCTTCCCTCGTATGGGAACAATGCGTTCATTGGCTGTGATCACAACCAATAGAAATTGCGAAATGGGCTCCATTACATTACCGTCTAGGCGCTAGTAGTGACGGCCGCGCTACTAATTAGGTGCTACTAAATACTTTAATAAATTCGCGTTTGCAATGCGAATTTCGTCTAGGTGCTACTAATTATTATTGCAAATTGCAATGCACGTGCAGTATATGTAGGTGCTACTAATTAGTTGCTACAAATATTTCCAGGTTATTTCTAGCCACGTATAAGTTATGTCTAGGTGCTACTAATTTGGTTTTCTGATATTTTATAGTGTACCTAGTGCGATTTTTTTGGGCGGGATGAACATGCCAGTCGAAAATGAAAATGACGGCCGAAATTAAAATTCCCGTCCCAACCGAGAATGCTCCCATTGGCTAGCAATTATCGTCGCGCTCGGAATTCCGTCACGTCCGGAATTTCCGCTCTGGCAGACCGATTCTGAAAGTTCCAAAAACTTTGATTTTTGGCATTTTCGTTTGGGGGGCTTGGGGCAGCGTTGGGCGGGATGATTCAAAAAGTCAAAATGCAGTCGCAATTGGGACTACCTATTAGCAGTCAGCTACTTAGCTAACAACTTAGCCGCTTTTATTTCTTGACTTTCTTTCTTAATTGTGGTGATAAATAAAAAATTCGCTGCTGCAGATCAAGCGTCTTAGTTTTATTTGTTATTTGTTGTTTGAAAGTTTACCACAAAAATGTCCTTGCCAATAGGTAGTGTTGTCGGACCTTTTTCAGCAGAAGTTGCAATACAACTAGCATCTGGAAATAACGTGATTGCAAGTTGGGAACATATCTCTGATCCGTCGCTATTAGCGAGTTCATTGTTCTTGCAGCCCGATTGTGACGTTTCCTATCCTGTCGACCTTCATGCGCAAGAGAACATCTCCGTTATCCCAGTGGCCGATGAAGGCGACAGCTTAGACAGTGATCGTATGTTTCTCGAAGATTCAGCGATGCCAGCACACAGTGAAAGCGGACTACCGCGTGACGAGGAGGAACCTCTTAGTGCTGCAACGAGTTTAACCCAAGAAGGTTTTGTTGGAACCCCGGATTATGACGCTCCGCCAAAACGCGGGAGGAAGAAGTTGCCTCTAACGAAGAAAGGCCAACAAAAACTGGAAAAGCAGCAAAAGAAACTGGAAATCGATAAAGAAAGGGAGAATTCGCTGTGTGCTAAGTATCAGGTTGTGATTGAAAATAATCCTTGGGAATTTAAAAGGAATTCTGTTCCTTTTGTTGCGCGCTGGAACAAAATCGTCGGTATCCTGAAAGAACGTAAACTCTTGGAAAATATTCCAAATGCCAGCAAGCTGTTTCAAAACCATGTTTCCAAAGCACTCGAGAAGTTTTACAAAGTCTTCGTCAAGCGCCCGACGGGAACCGAACCACCGGCAATGGATGATAAAGATCAGCTGCTCTTAGAAATTTACCAGCTGAAGAAGTCTGGACCTGTTGGAGAGGGGATTAACCCCGGAGCGGAGGACCGCAGGCGTGGCTTGGAGAAACGAACAATGGCAAGGCGAACCCTGGGCATGTCTACAGCTAACAAAGTCAGCGATCTGCTGGCAGATGATGAGGATATTCTAGATTATAATTCCGATGAGCGAATCTGCCTGCGTGAGGAAGCTGAAGCTACCGGGCTGGTTGGGCGTCTAAATCGAAAAGAAAGTTTTGAGCTTGACATTGATGGTAAGAGCTTCCTAAAAACTAGTAATTGAAACTTATCTAAAAGCATTTATTTCACCTGTTCCTATTTACGACTTACCATTTTATGCAGAATTTTTGGCAATTCTTAGGAGATAGTGCGCCAGGTTTCATTAGGAGATGGGGAGCCAGGTTTAATTCGAAACTTTAGTTTTATATATTAAGCCTAAGGATAATATATATTAAGATATAAATGTAAACTATTTCTATGTAAACTAGAGTTTTTTTTCGGTTGGTTTTTTTTCTAGGTCCGTTATGGAGAAACAACGCTGTCGTCTCGAGCAGCAAGTCAAACGGCAAAGTCATGTTTGTGCACAAGCGGAAGGGGAATCTCCCGGAAAGAAGCGGAAACCCGCGAGGAGGCTGCTGTTTCGGATAACGCAGCCGAAGATTCCTACAGGGTCATTGACGAAATGAATGTGGATGATGGTATGGCTAATCCTGTAAAACCCGTGTCGAAATTTGATGTAAAATAAACTTAATATGCCTCGCAGTCCATAACGCTTTATAATTAGTTTCTAAATTAATTATTGCAACGGTGACTAGGTGACAAAGACTTGCAGTATGACCTCAATGCATCCGGCTCTCCAAAATCATCAGACGAAACTCAAGTTTCAAAAAAGAGGGAGAATCTCCCGAAAGCGGCTATCCGCGGCAAAAAGAGAGACATGGTGGATGCGGTTATGAAATTTTCCGAGTCTGCAAAAGAAGCCGCAGATATGCAATGGAAGCAGTGGTTGTCAGAACAAAAGCAGATGGAGTTTGATCGGGCGCTGGAAAGAGAACTCCAAAAGCAAAAGTTTGAACTGGAAAAAGAACGCATACGAATGGAAGCAGAAAGAATGCAAAAAGAAGAAGAAGCACGAGATAAAGATAGAAAGTTAGATCTAGAGAAACACTTGGCTTCTTTGAATGTTATTCGAGATGCTTTAGGTCTTTTCGCTAAAACAACCTCCGCCAAAAAGACCGGCGAAACATCTTTTGAGAAAGGAGGCGAAACATCTTCCGAGGAGTAGTGTTTGGAAAAATTTGGGTGTTTATGCGTGATGAAAAACTGAAGAATAAATTTTGTTAACCGGTAATTGATTTTGCATTTTGTCACTTTATTGTAAATGCAATGGATTCAATTAATAGGAATTAACTAACTGTTTTTATCATTTGCTGGCGTGATGTAGGATATGTAGATATTGGTCCGTTACTTATAAAAAAAGGAACCATCCTCCATAAGTACATTATGGAGAACAGAGTAACTATACATTTATTGCGTTCCGGTTAAACGGTACAGTTTTTCGAAGTAGCACTTGCTAAAGTAGCACTATAAGTTGCTAAAATAATAACAGCAAAACTTCTTGCCACTCAGGATGGGTCGAGGTAATCCTCTAACGTGGGTGACTCCACTTTGTATTTGCCGCCAATAATAGCGCAGCCATATAAGCACGTCAAACAGTTGGTCAGAAGAGCAGAAACGAGATAAATTTTGGCAGTTTGCTGCCACAACAGCTGCTGACTTCTTGAATAGTTACAGTAGGCAAAAGATCGCGCAATCTTTAAAAATCCAAGTTCAACCGCCACGCGGCACAGAGCCATATCTTTGTTAAACTCAATTTCTTCCGGCGTTAAATTGAGACCTTTATACGGAGTTTGAATTTCAGGCGAGATATTGTAACCTTTGTCTGCAAACAGGCAATACTCGGGGTTTCCCCAATCGAGGTTCTTCCTCTGTAGCCGTTTTCGCAGCTGACTCTTAAGCAGCATAAAACATCATGACGACGCCCTTCAACCGGTCCAAACATATTGATGATTAACCCATCAGGTGCGACCACAGACTGGAACTTTAACGCGTGAGTGCCTGCATGGCCAGAATAATAATCCTCCTGGTACAAGCTCGGCTTGCAGATTGCCCGCGCTGTCCCATCTATGAATCCCCAACAGTGGGCTGGATAAAAAACAGCATTTCAGATTCCGCCAAATATGTCTCGGTGTTTTGAAAACAAAATGCAAAAAATGACCACCTCACCATATCGCCCTTTACTTGCACGATGAATAGCATCCGCGTATTTCTCGATACGCTCCCGCGTTATCCAACCGAGCGATTCCAGCAGCCACCCTTTTTTGTCATAAATGAGGTCCAGGGTGGTATTGAAGATTCTTGATAGTTGAGTTCTGTCTCTTCCAAGAAAGTCCATTGTGTCCACCCACCGACAAGGGTACGCGAGACGTCGAAGGGTAACAGCCAAAGCGACTTCCGCGCTCACGGCGGTCCCATTGTCGCAAACAATCCGTTCTGGAAGATCCAGAGCTTCCAGAAGGCGGCAGAAATCCGCGTAGGATCGTAAACGAAAAAACAATTCAAATTTCTCTCGAGGCATCTCCTCTAAGCCGATTTCGTGTCGAACGTAGAACTTCTCAAATTTCCGATCGGCTTCAGCAAGCAGAAGCGCCCGAGCGAACAGCTCATCTAACGTTTTGAACAAAGCTCGGCGTCTCACACGGCACTTAAATCGGCGATAGTTTTTTCGGAGTTTATGATTCATATTGAAGTTTACTGCAAAAATGCCAGAAAAAGTGTATTAAATGAAACAGAGACATGGGGAAAGCTCAAAATCACTGCGGCCGGCAAGCCGCATTAACTCATAATGACGGCACTTCCGCCCGCCCTGGAGAAGCCATTAAAATTACAGGTGCTTGGTTTCCTCTGGGGCTTTAACTTGCCAAAAGTTTGTAACTTGTTTGTTACTTCTGCTTTATTTTGTATTTTTATTTTATTTTGACTAAAGCCAAGGAAGGTGATTTTGACCGGATTAAAATGGAACATCTGATTAAGCGCCGCTTTAATTTCGATCAGTCGTTTGCCATTTATGAAGGTACAGTATCTGTACTCACCTGTTTTTGTGGTGCAGCGGTTCGCAGTGAGCATCGATGCTACCGGTGAAATTCACCAGAATGATCAGCATAACCGGAATTTTTCCGTAAAGCACATCCGTCGAGTGTGTAATTAAACCAAACGTCTAACGGATTCTTACCGCTCGAATCAGCAGATGCTCAGGCCTTCCAGATGCTTCTTTAGCGGTTAACACGGCCAGTGGGCATGCCGTGGATGGAGTGTTCAACGGGATCCACTTCCAGTGCGCCGGATGACGGGAATGGAGTAGCCAGTCGCACGCGGGCCGGAACGCATAGCCAACATCCAGCAGCGGCGTCCTGGTCGCGATCCGGAGTACAGCCAAAGCTCATGCGCGGAGTGAGTGATGAGGATATGGAGGGACACGGGAGTAATGTGCAGGGTAAAGATGAAGGCAGTAACTCCAGTCTACAGGGAAGTTTTCATGGGGAGGAAGTTGGCTTTTCAGAAGAGGTCTCACGGAAGCGGTAGTGTCTCGTCTGCGACGATTCGGCTAGTGGCTACCATTACGGTGAGTTCATGAGTAGATGGATAAAGAAAAAGCTGCTTGAATTTTAACCGTGCTTTTTTACCCTAATGGTGTGCAAGTACTGAAATAATTGTATTTGTGTGCAGTATAAATTGTAATTTAACGCACTTTCAGCACTAATACTTAATTACACCGGTTGCTGCGTAATCCGGGCGCGTTAGTGGAAAGAAATACAGTCTCAAACGTTCGACGCTGTTCCATATGTTTTCCGCCAAAATTCCAATTTTCAGTATTTGTGTGGAATTACTGAACCGGATTGTCTGCTAGTATTGCACTCGATGTCCCCTTCCGAGTACAGGTAAGACTGATTTGGTAGTTATTTTAACCTGTTTATGGCTTTGAAGCCTTTTACACTACGTTGTAGAATCTTTATGAATATCAGTTATATCACGAATGCAGTTTTCTGATAATAATTACTCTACTGAATTCCTTCTTATTATTTGCATGCTTTATTTGCTGTATTTGTTCCCCAGCATCCAGCGGAGGAAGAAGTGTGGCACGGAAAATCTTTAACGGAAAATCACATTCGTGATACATCTGGATTCGATTTTGTGCACGCTTTATCTGATCTGGAGTGTTTTTGAATATGTCTTCACATTCGGCAATTGATTAATTACCTAGCAAATTTTTGTAACGGCCTAGCTAAGTTTACTGTATTGCAGCCGGTGACCGAGTTAAATCAGAACTGTTTCCGCTGCGGCAAATGTGGTGGTGATCTGCCGAAGGAATTCCATATGCGCAACGATGTTCCAATCTGCAACAAATGTCACAAGAAACATATGACGCGGATAATCAAGAGCGGGAGCGCATCAGCGAGACGGTGGTGCGCGAAGAGCGTCCCGACGGCAGCCGGCATACGGAGACCATGGTGCGCGCTAAGACGCCGGTAATCCTAACTCGAAGGAGGTGCGGGATTATCGTGAGCAGACGACCACCATCCACCATGGCGGCGACACGGGAACGTTCGTCCGCGAAGGCGAGATGAACTATACGGGTGAACGGGTAGGCCATCAGGGTCAGTGCAACGATATCGGTCAGCCGATCCACCGGCAGAGCAATTTGCGCACCAATGTCCAGGGGAATGGCTGCTCGGGGTGCATTGAACCGATTGCCGATGGGGATCATGTGCACGCCAAAGGACGACATTTCCATCGTAACTGCTTTGATAGTGCGCATTCCGGTGAATGCTACGGATGCGGTGAGAAGCTGCGCTTGACCGAGGTAAGCTGATAACTGATGACTATACTGGTGTGAGCAGTTTACGTATACTTCTATGTACACTGCACTGTACGGTTATCTATATACAAAATTTGACTTACCTGTTTTCGTTTTTAGCCATCAGTGAGCGTGGCGGTTTTGGGACGCGAATGGCATACCGGTTGCTTGAGCTGTGGACACTGCAACAACAATATTACTGGACAATTTCAATGGGCCAACGATCTGCCGCTGTGTGAAAAGTGTTATCGCGAACGCATTGCACCTGGTTGTGCTTCGTGCAAGGAGCCGATCTTGGGAGACAAACTGAAGGCAATGAATATGTACTGGCATCGGGATTGCTTCCACTATCAGGTAAAAATAATTATGTATTGACTCTCTTATAGTTTCTTGTTCATGAAAAAGTATGCATGCGGCAGTAGTAATCGCTTAAAAATATGAAACTGAACCATAATTAAGTGAATTCTCCAAAAGGTTTGCTAAACACCCTTGTGAAACGATAAATACTTACTCGTACAGTTAACGTATTACTGTATGAATTTGAAATATCAAAACGAGACAGGAAAATAGCAACGCTGATATGCCGGCATGAGTTGCCGTACTTGCTGACTTGACTGAAATTTGTAGCTTATTCGAGAAATGGAGAAGCTGAACGCGGATCGCACAGTTCACGGAATAATTTTGCAAGTACGCAACAACTGGACACGAAGTTAATCTTTTTCGGCATGGAGGAATTTACATTTTTTTTCTAAAAAATTTGTATTTTAATACGTCTATAGCTTGTCTCCATAGACGTAATTGTCTCTATAGCTTTCAATAATGTCTCCAGTTATGGAAGGTTTCGCCTTGGCATTATTCTGCTTGCTGATGTTTTGTTTTTAATACGTCGATACGTGCGTTCAAAGCGATCAAGAATTAAGGTGGTGCCAAATGTGAAATACTATTTGACAGTGTCAAGAAAATAAAAGAAATATAAGTGAATCATTACAGATCTGTACAAAAATACTGCGGTAACACAAACCGAATTATCTCGAGGTCTATCCAGTAGTGAAGAGAGTCCCATAAAAGAAAGCAACCAGACACACTAACCGCGGTTCACAAAATTACGATGGCGCTCTTTCTCCCGATCTTGACGGTTACGGTCTTCTTGAAGTCGTCGTTCTTCCAGTTCCATTTTCTCTACCTCGTGGTCTCTTTCCAATTGTGCCTTTTCATCCTGGTGACGGAAACGCATCTCTCGGTCTTCCAGACGTCGATTCTGGCGAATGCGTTCTGTTTCCCGCGCCTCTGCTTCATAAAACAGCCCCAAATTGCGAAGACGGGCTTGGCTTCGAGCAACGACGGCTGCAGCTGGCTTGTTTCGGCACTGAGACTGACGGTGTCCATTTTTATGGCAGCGGTAGCACCAGATTTCACCTTCTCGCGGAAATCCGCTAGGGGAATTCCCCGAAGTGCCAGCTCCACTGCTGATATCACTTGGCTTAATCACAAGGGTTTCTGTGGCAGCGTCTAATGCCAACAGGAACAATTTATAATGTGCAAAACAAAACTGTATACGTACTCCTGACTGAGCCGCTCGAGGATTTCCAATCAATGCCACGGGTTGAGCTGGGCCTGACTGATCACCGTGAATAACCTGCACCGAAGCCCCTGTCAAATTGGAAACAACGCCACCGACCGTGCACAAAGACGCCGAACGCGGAATACCGCGACCTAGCCAAAGGAAATGGAAACAATGAACAGCGTGTTTATAAAAAATTTAAAAATTGACTTAAATGAACATAGCTGAACCAACCTCTCCACAGCGCTCGTGGTTCTCCACTTAGCGGAATTCCGCGCTCCAACTCCTGAGGCTTCAGCTTATTTTGATCCTCAATTTTCAAACCTGCATCTGACAAAGTTAAACAGAAATAGACAACACTACATCGGTACAGTGTTAAAATTTTAATAAAAATATAACAATAAATACCTGAATGCTCAGCCCGCACCGAAACCACGGAGCCAGATCCCTTTGATGGATCAGGGTTGTTCTCCAATGCCAACATGGAGCGCAGCGACGTGCGCATCGAAGGAGCTCCTTCAAACCCTCCAAAATTCGAATTTCCTCCGAGAGTGCACATTGACAAAGTACGACAAATGCCATTACCTAAATAAAATTAGTTTGCTCGAAACTGGAAGCTAAGTTACAAGTGCACGGAAAAACCGAATTTATCAGCGGTACCACTTACTCCAGTCTGCTCGTGGTTCTCCACTTAGCGGGGTTCCGCGACTTTCTGGCTCCTTTCCACTTCTTTTGGCATCTTCGGGCCAACCAAATTCGCTTTCCATATCCTTATCATCCAACACGTCGAAGCTACCTGTACAAAACCCAGATTTGCCCAAAGATAAAAAGTTCAGCCTAGGCTGGCATGGTACCGTATCACAGCAACCTTCACGAACCTTCACGAAGTCTCTCACAAAACTCTACAAATAATTTTGCACAATACCTGCAGATGAGAAACGGGACGACTTCATGGCACCGTCCGACAATTAAGTTTTTAATTATTCAAGTAGATAAAACCGTGTTTAAAAACGGTAAACAAAAACTACAGCGCGAACGAACGATATGTTTTCAAAGTACTACGAAAATTTGTCAGTCGCGTGACAGCTGATAGTTTTTGACAGTCCAAGAACGTTCAATTATGACGCTACAAATCGCACGGCTGTCGAAGCAGTCTGATACGGCAGGCCAAAATGAATTGAAAATGCCGGTCGAGGTGGGGGCGGAATTCGAATTTTCGTATCCGTTTGAATTTTGCCACGAGCGGCACTTTGTCATCGCACGCGGTACAGTAATGCGATGTAGGTCATGTCTAGGTGCTACTAAATAGGTGCTAATAATATTTTATAGCAGTGCAATGATTTATCTAGGTGCTACTAAATTTTTTAACAGCAAAGCGATATGAATTTAAGTGCTACTAATTAAACGCTACTAAATATTTTAGCATAATCGAGCCGCGTATTCGGTATTTCATAATTTCTGTGGTTGTGATGTTAAATTATCACAGCCAATGGGGAACGTTGTTCCCCATACGAGGGAAGAACGCGTGTGCCTCCACCGCCCTACGGTGCGCCAGGAGGTCATCGTAGGCCCATAACAACAAGTGCTTATTCCGGCACTTTTTTTAACAGCGTGCGTTCGCAAACTATGTTGTTGGTTAATTAGACAGATACATGAAAATATTCAGAAAAGCATTATCTGCAAACGAGGAAAAAATGTGTGATAAACATGTTTGCCGTAATGTTAAATTTAGCGTTAATGCTGTGGCCACGGTATTGGATTACCGCCTCGAAAATTTTAGCACACGAACAGAAACAGAGCGAATGCATAATTCCCTGTTGGCGCACTCCAAAATCCCTGTTTGTAAGTGACGTCAAAATGACACACTGCCAGTCTGCAGTCTCGGCGAGAATCACGAATACCGCTGCACTACACTGACTACATGTGAAATGCGCATACCGCCGCTTACGTAATCACACACGCGTGCATATCAGCACACGGCATGTGGAAGCCGGGAACGTTGTTCGAAACATGTTGGACAAGCCTGCGCGGAGCATCCACCTGGCATGCTTTACACCAAAACAATGAAGAACCCAGATTAATTTGCAAAATTCTTGATAACAGACGTTTATTATAAATGTTTTCAAATTCAGAAAAGCCGCCGCAAAAGAGATGTCGTTCCATGCCAGTTTAAACTGTCAATAATACTACTACAGAAAACCAAATCGTCAAAATTAAAAGAAACGTTCGAAATTGAAAAATCGTGCACGTAAGTATAAAAAACGTTCAAAAAAATTTTTATTTTTAAGTATAATTTTCAAGCATCTTCACTTAGTCGGGAGCAATATATTCTGTATAAAAATCGATAAAGAAATATGACAAATCACTGCATTAACTGTAACGGCTTATTAACAGTGAGTTTTAACATTGTTTTCGATTTCGAAACAACATACTCCCGTAGCGCCCATGAACCAACAAACTGCAGACAAACATTTCACAGCACATACCTTTCGCGGCACTGCTTCCCGACACGGCCAGGCAGGTTCTTGGCGATTTCCGCCCAGTGCGTCACACGCGGTCCGGAGGCATCGGGGTCGGTCTCCGCGTGGCCAGCGGAGCGGGCGTCCTGCACCAGCTGCACCAACAACGCATCCTCCTCCCGCGTCCAGTTGCCTTTGACCATGACTCGGGAGTTGAAGTACCGCTTCTCACTGGCTGCGGGCTGTGCGCGGACGGCTTTGCGGGCGGACGGTACTTTCAACAGCGCACGATCGTCTTCCATTATCGCGTGGAGTGGACACGCTGTGTCCTGCGTCTAACCGGAAAATCACGTTATTCACATATTGCAATATTAGAATAACGGGGAACGAAAAATGGGAGAATTAGAATGGCATACGGAATCGTTTCAGTCGTTATGCTGTTTCGCGATCTTCCCACTCGGTTGCCAACGGTCCGCGTGTAAGCCCCCACCAACGGCTGTTGTAAGGGAAGAAAAACTGCCTGCCCAACACCGTTACTAAGTGTTGAAAATCGGTGCAGTAAACGGGAAAATTATTATTGCGGTTTAAAATATTAGTACTCTCGATAAAGGCGGTTATAATGCGTGGCGACTTGTCAGGACAGCAAAATGGCGTCAGAAAAGTCGGCAGAATTTTCCAGCTCAAACAAGCCCCGGTTGAAGTTGCACATGACACTGGGGCCGACTGGAAGTTCAAACGAGGGAAAAACGAAGCGATTCGAAGTCGAACGGATCAGACAGCCAAGCTGCCCGTACGTGTGTATTTGTTCGCGATTGGGTGTATACAGGGAACTGGTGACGTTGCGCAGTATCGGCGTGGCACGTAAAGCGCCTATCAAAACAAGTGCGCAGTATACTGTGTGCTTATTTTACCACAATTAAATTGTTTGCGTAATTTGAGGATGTTATTTTAGGGCATGCTGACCACCAGCACCCATTCGAAAACCGGAAAGGAACCGCCTCCATGCGATAATATTCCTGGAGGAACTTTTTGGGAGGTGATCTATGCTAGCGAAAATATGCTGTATTTTTTCAGTATATGTAGCCATTGTCCACTGCCCGACCGGCTTGGAAAAATTATTGACTATGCAAAATGTAAACTAGTAAAATACTGGACGTATCGTTTCTGCTACCCGTAGTTTACAACTGAAAGTAAAATCTGCTTTATGTGAAGGTGTAAATTTGAATAATTCTCTCCAAGTAAATTCTGATTTCCACGTTCGGGAAAAATCTCAAGCGAATTAAATTTCCTCCAGTTACAATTAATTAGTACTTGCCAGAACAGATATGTACACATTCTTTCATAAAGTTAAATTTAAAACTGTTTATATTTTATAGTATTTAACATATTGTTGTAATCATATTCTGGAAGCAAAAAATACGGTAAAACAGAATTCCGATAATGTGGTACTTGTTGTTTCCCACGTTGCTGTCGTTCTTTTCCACGAAAATTCCATTATTTTTGGTATAATTTTTAGCGTACAAATTCGCAATATCTTCAGCGATGTGGGCAAGTATTTTAAAAAATTATACAGTGCACATTTTGCATGTCTTCATCCGTTGGTGCACTGGCCGAAAGACTCCAGAGTAACATGTTTTTATCCCGAAATTGAACAGCGATGCCATCCGGATAAATCAGGGTCAACCAGGTGTCCGAATAACACCTCCTGTACTGATTAAAGTTCTGAAACGGGCCCCGCACGGAAAATGTTTATCTCTTCAGATCCCAGATATTTGTCGCAGCACCATTTGAACGAGCACAAACTCATTCCGCTATTAGAAATAAACCAGGAATTGTGGAAATAATTATTAGTTCGTAAATCATAAATAAAGTAAACTTCAAGACCATTCGTGCTCGAAAATCAAACAAAAATCGTAACTAAACTGAACCATGTAATATTCTGTAAATACTCGTACATGATAACCGAAGATTTTACAAAGGAAAGGAAAGACCGTACAATTATACTGTCAAATTCGTAAATCAATAATTTAATGATGATGGCTTCCGTGTGGCAATCAGAGTGGCGGAAGGAACGAGACCTATACGAACAAATCACTCGTAAAAATCGTGAAGTAAGAATACATTCATTTTCATTGAGCTCGTACTGCAAGCACGATCTGACCAACCAGTAGTACAAATAATTTTTCTGTAACAATATAACGCCCAATGTAAAGTTAAAAGTAAAAACATAACAACTAATTAAAAGGCAAATTTCACTTTCAAGAAGCCAACAGAAATGAAAACACTGAACTAATGAGGCGCAAATGCAGTACATCGAATTCTGATTATTTACAATCGATTTCGGGATATCGATCTGAAGCGTTTTACTTAAGCATGCATAATGCATGAGATGACTCACCCAGGGAGAATAACGGTGCCTGCATATCATCTTCGGTAAATTCTTTCTTTGGAAAGTTGGTCATCATGCCGAACGGGCCAATCTCACCATCCTGACGGTTGAGTTCGGCGTAAAGTCTGACAGCGCTCAGTGGCTCATTGATGCCGAAGGACTGTACCAGTGGTTTCCCGTCAAACATACGAATCTGGATAGCAGAAAAGCGAGAAAATAAAATTCTACTGTACCAAATTCAAACCTGGTGCATGTGATTTTTTAATTGATTAAAGTATCATAACTATTCAGGCTCAACTTTTCTTAACAACCGCAAAATGAAAAAACCATTTCCGCAAAATAAACCTTTGATTCTTTCGCATGTTCGCTAGCGGTGCACATAACGACAATGTTACATTCCATCTGCAAAGCTAGCGTTTTAAAACTTCGGTCAAAATTAAAAACGTACAGTACCTGAATAAAACAAAATATTTTCATTTTAATCGAAAGTGGCTTTTTTCTATTTTAATCTTTACCTGAATGCGGGTTTTCGCATTCTGATCCAGATTGGCTGACGAATTGGTCGGAGTGGAGAACGGCGTGGGAGTAACGGATGGGACATTCGCCGACAGTGGTTGCTGTAGCAATAATACAACTACTGCACACAGTATAGGAAAAACAATGGAAAACTCACTTCACGCTCCTTATCCCGGTTGCGGCGATCTTCCTCAATCAGCGCTTTAATCTTCTCTTTGGCCTTTTTATCCTCCATCTTCTCACGACGCCGCTCTTCAGCAATACGCATCATCTCCACCTGGGCGGCTTTCTCTTTGGCATCCAGGATCTCCCGACCGCTGACGCGGCGGGCTTTTTCCCGTTCAATCTCATCTTTGCGCTCTTGCTCAGCCACTTCCGCACGGCGCTGCACGCGACGCTCTTCCAGCTTGCGCGCTTGCTCTTCCAACTCGGCTTCGGTTAAAGGCAGCTTCATCGTAGGAGCAGAATCTCCTGGAAGATAAGAATAATTAAAAAGATAATCTACTCATTCTACCACCCCGAAAGCCGCACATATACAGTTTACTACTTGTACGAGTATCTATATAATTAATAATCAATGTTTAAAAATTTGAAATTCGGGATTCAAATGCTCAAAAAATTTTCTAACATCGAGATTTTCTTGGACCCTGCCACCATTTTAAGCAAAAATCATAACCCCGGTTACTAGATGAATAATAATCAATTTTAATTTAATAATCCAAATAATGAATTAAATATAGATAAAAAATTTCCGGTATTGAGATTTTCTGGATGCTACCGTTTTCTGAATGCGCGAGCAAAAACCTATTTACCTGCAGGCTGCGTATTCCCTTCTGATTCTTCGCCATCATCATCGGGATGCGACAAAATCCTGTATGAAATGACAATATAACGATACTTCATAAGAGTTAAGTATCAAGACAAGCAAGACTCAGCATAAACTGCTAAAGCGGTTTCAATTTATGCGTACCATTCCATGGCGGTTTCCACGCTCCCGTGGCCTGTGGCAGCTAACGCTTTCTCTCTGCATAAAAGCGTATTTGTGAGAAATCTGACTGCGTGTGACAATAATAAACCGAGAAGCTCACATACGCTTTCTTTTGCGGGAAACCCATTTCCAAAAGGTAACTCAGCAGTGGATCTGCAGAATCCATGGTGCACTGTGTTCTTCAGTAATCGCACAACCAAAATTCCAGCACTCTGCCAGTGATAAAACCACCTTCTGGTCTACTTGAATCCGGATCGCTTCAAGTGATCAAGAGAAGGAAAAATTTAACTAGGATCGCAACTCTATTGGGTAAAATCACTAAAATGAAAGGATAAAATTTTTTTAATTTCCTGAAGAAGTTCTAGAACGACTGGCGGAAAAAGAGAACTGTTTACTGTTTTACCAACCTTGCAGTTTACTGCAAAATCACTTCACGTGCCAACCGCTCTCAAGTGGCAGCCACCATATTGCTTGGACATTCCCTGGGAAAGCACTCGTATTTGAATATTTTAGGTAACTGTTTAGAATTCAACTCATTAGTCCATTACGATGCCTTACTGTTGCAAACTGTTGATGAAAGTCCACTGTAACGCCAACCATTACCGTAGCAGATGAACTGCCATGATCGACTGTTATCTATGACAGCTTCTATGTCATGCTAAAGCACTTGCATTTGATATTTCAGTGATATTTTACGGCATGTTGCTTATCTCACTCTGATATCAGTCAAATCAACAGTCAAGCATCTTGATTCTGTTGTCTTCATTCTTCAGGACATTTTTCAGAAGTGATAAACAAGCAATATTAATAGAAAAATGAAAGATTCATTGGCAGTAAAATAGAAAGAATAGAAGAGAATTCAAGAGATAGAAAGGTTAAGACGATGAAATCTTCCTGCATGACACTGCGGACAGTTTGAGCGCATTGGTGCAATATCCCGGTACATACCCGTATATGAAAATGCTGACGTAATGGGTGACTCAATTTTTCCTGTGCCGCTTTTCTGTCTTTCCTTATGAATCAAAGCTCAAAGCGCCAAGCCTGTTGATTTTACAGATTATTTGCGCATCATTTTCATGTTTCTTCGATCTTCGGCATTGTCTAGACTAGAGATTTCTTCAGCTTTGGGCGCTTTTTCCTAAGTTAACCTTATTAATATCAGACATGCCACACTTTTATAAGTTAAACGTAACCAATACAAGCATAGCCAGCTTGACAACACAACCGGAGAATGTCCTGAAAACTCCGATATTGAGCGCGCCGCCTGTTGCATCCTGCGATAGCGATCAACTGGATGAGCAGGTGAAGCGGCATCCCGGCGAGGCAACGGCGGATTATTACCAGCGCAGTATGTATTTGATAGCTGGGATTTTATTAATCAGTGGTAATGCTAGCGGTTTCAGTGAAGCGGATGCTGGAAAAGGCCGTCCATCCCGATCCCGCGACACCATTACTCCAGCGTGCCTCGACGGCTCAGAAAATTCGCAATCAAATCAGCAATCTCCTCGGGCAGATGCGCGATGGCTGCCAGAATCCGTCCAAGAAGGAGGTGGAGGAATTCTGCGTCTATGCGAACCAGAAAGTCTTGGCCATTTTCAAGGAAGACCAGAAACCTGGTCCACGACCACCACGGTATAATCCAGACGGTGTGCCGCAAAGCGTCCGGAAACCTGTCATTCAGAACGCTGTAGCGATTGGCTCCGGTTATGATCGGCATCAGGCTCCTTTCGTTAATCATGTAAAGGCATTGTGTTGGGTGGTTTTTAAAATTAATATTAAGCGGCGATAGTATAATAAGTAATAATAATTATTAATTATTATTAGCCCTATCTTGATTATTGTATTAATTTTAATCATAGCCTGTTTTAATTGTTAAAGATGCATTATTTATGAATAAGTATGATTAGCGAGCGCAGGAATAATGATTTTGATGTATGTATTATATTTTTAAATGGTAATAATTATCATAATTACTACATTCGTATTCTAGCAGACATACCGATTTACGAGTACAGCCTGCAGATCGGCAAAATTTTTCGTTTCCCGTTATTCCAAGTGTTGATCGAGTAGCATGTGTGTTCTTACGAATCTTTATTCTGTAAAAGAAAATGTACTATTACAGTACCCGATACGTGTAATTTTATTTAGCGTATTCTGTTAGTGCCACTGCTAGTAATTAATTCAGTTTATTTAGTTAAAAACCATTTGAAATAACAGTTGTAGTTTGATTACAGGAAAACAACTGGTTGAAGGAGCTGAAATCTTCGATCATAGTGGATGTATATAATGTAATGAAGGCTGACCGCGAGTATTTCGCCACCTCACTGAAAGAGTTGACCTACCGCGTGGATGAATTGACATACAAATTGAAGCACGTTGACGACACCGTCCAGACAACATATACGGATTGGCTGAAAGATTCCCAGTACATTCGGGAACGTATTGCGTGGGAAGTGGAAAGGGTCGGTTGGGACACGGATCGGCTGCAGCGCCAGATCGATCGCAATCACGACTTCGTGATGGGAAAGGAAATGCGCGGCGGTATTAACCATTTTCACATGTATCCACTGCCGAAGAAGGCGTACTATGACGAGCCGGAGGAGATGCAGCCGGACACGAATGATTCGGGTATTCAGTTGGACGAGGACAGTGACAGTTGTCGCGGCAGTGGCACCAGCGAATGCTCAGGTGAGACGACTGCGCAGTATCATTGGTTATTGGAGAGAATTTTCGCATTGCGGTGTCGTTTTGCTGGGTGTACTTTAATTAATTCGACATTTCGTTGATGAATTGGTTTTGTTACTGACGAAAGTCAAACTGTGTATGTTACGGTTGTTAATTACGCCAGTAATTACCTACTGAGTAGTCATATCGTATTTGGTTTCCGACTACGGTGCCGGTAAGGCTTAACAAAGTATTACTAGAAGTACAGATACTTTCTCGGCTTCCTGTAATGTTATTGTGTAATCAAGAATTTTTTCAGAAGTTGAAGAAGTGTGTGGAAGTGACCATATTCCCTTAACGAAATCGGATGTCGAGTTATGTAATGCAGTCTGTGATAGTAATGGTGCTGATGAATATCTACCGGAATCGCTGGAATCGTCGGTTTCTTTGGATGACAGTTTTCAAGAGATTGTGGATGAAGAAAAAGGTGTGATATCTATAATGTAGATAGAAATCAGTTAATTACGTACACTTTTGTTGTCCGATTGAGAAAAGTTGGGAGTGCTGTTTTGTTGCATTCAGTGGAAAACATTTTTTTAAACTGCAGTTGGGATTGTGGATTTGCCAGATTGTGCCGTTAATGATGAGGAAATTGGAGATGATGATGTTTTCTGGCCGGCAGAAGAACTGGTGGCGGCATTCGGTGAGCAAGAAGCATCTAGCGGCATTCGTATGGACAACGATACCGGTGATGACGCCTTGGCGGATGAAAGCGCGGATAGTGCGCAGAGTGTGGCAGAACACACGGTACGGAAATTGGGTTACTGAAGACGGAAGTACTGTAAATGTACAATGTTGCAGTGAGGACTAACCTGCTTATGACTTTAGAATATTTATTGGTTTTCGCTTCTCATGATCATGTGAATCACAACGACCATTGCTTGTTGGTTTAGGTGCGGATGCGAAAGGGGATTCGAGGTTTTTTTCCGTGGATGGTTGTTTTGGTTTTAATCTTGTTGTTGTTGGTTAAAGGTAAGACTTGTTTGGGCTTTCTTTGGTAAAATCATCGCCTGCCGGTGGTGAATTGTCTGAATTTTTAGTGGTGCGATTTGGAGATGCTGTAGCGGCTTCTATAGCTGGTGAGTGTGCTACTTATTTTGCTTCACTTTCATTAGTTTGCTAATTTAGCTTTCGGCGCATTGCCGCTTATCGTAGACTGCGCCTCACCAGTCAGAAATATACTGAATAGCGAAGTCTTTTTATTTTATTTCGGTTATTTCGATCTGCCTATAGCTTTTCTGTGATTTTGCCGGCTAAATATGTAATTTGAATCGTGTTTGAGTGTTTTATTTGATATCGATGGTATTTACTTATTTGTTAGTTTGTGACAACAATTTTTTCGAACTGTAAGAAATTTAACAGTATGCTGTATTCGTTTACGTAAGTATAGCATTCACGGTTCTTACGCTTCCGGCTTATTTTGTATACATTTTAGCGGGATAGTAATGACAGGTTGGTGTGCATAATAATTCGATTGCATTTTTCAGACTTTGTGAATGGCGATGGTGAAAATTCTTTCTGGTCTACGTATCTGCATTGCGTGAAAACAACGGAAGCCCGGGATTGTTTTGCATTTTAAATTTTACGTTTTTAAAGTTTACACGATCTGACCTGAGGATCGATCTCTTTCTCGGTATTTTTGAACTTCTCTTACCTTTATTCCGTTGTAATATTGCAAAATGTAAACCTCTGTACATTTTTGTTGTATATTTTGTATACTGTTGTACATTTGTTAGCCGTTTGCGGTGAGATTAGACATGTGCAGGCCGTTTTGGTTTATATTACTTCCCTTTATTATTATTATTATTATTACATCAGGAGCAGACAACCCGCTAAACGGGACTTCAACGTCTGGTCGGCACAACACTAAACAAAATAACAATTTCTAAGACAGATCAACTGTTCGGAGAGCAAATTTGAAAAATCCCACACCATCAACACTGAGTATATGCAAGTTAACTTTTTGTATGCGCTCAAAGATGTTCTTTAGTCGCATGGCCAGCGTGCCTTCTCCGATCTTCTTCTTCGCTCTGGCAGCAATTCTCGTTGGGTTCCGCAGGTTGTACCGCATTCCGAAATCCGTGAAGTCGATCATCTCGACCATGTACCTCGGCGGATGGTATGCTTCGTGGTTGTAGATCTTATACAACCAAACCGCTTCCGACTGCTTCCAACGGTCGTACACCGGCAGGATGCGCAGTTTCTGATACAGCTCGGGTGTAACCCGCTCCTTGTAATCAGAAATCGCCCGCAGTGCTTTCCGCTGTGCCCTGTCTATCTTGTCGCGTAAAGCCGAAGATGCCGGCGACCACGTACCTGACCCGTAGTCAAGGTGTGGCTGTACACAGGCATGCACTTTACGTTGAAGTTGGGTTGTTGTTTTGCAGTGTCTGCTGTTGAAAATTTGGTTGTCTCTGAATGTCTTTGTTTACACATTTGAGTATTTGCATTAAGCGAATCTGAATACAATACGCAATAATTGTTTCCGATAAATTAAGTACTTCAGGGAAGTTCCTCGTACTCATGACAACTTTAATTATTAGAGAATTACTTTCATTGCCAGTGCGGTGTAGGGCCGCAGTTGACTCACACGAAACAGGTTTATGACCAAATGATTAACCACAATTTCCTCGGATTATAATTACGCATCTTATACCTCGCAGTATGGAACCTATTATCGTGTAGGTTCATTAAGTTTTTTATGTGCGTTTGCGTATTAAGTGTTCGAATTCTGAATTATGTTCTGGATTTTCGCATTGGTGTGTTCCTGCATTATCGCAATTACGATTACTGGACGCCAAAAATACTGCATAAAGTTTGTTGTGTATGAGCCGCATAAACAGTGTACTTACTAAACGTATACTTAAGTACTTGTTTACGTTATGGGTGATCCTGTTACAAAATCCTTCTCCGCCACCGTGGATACGGAGACGAAAGGAACATTGGCCAATGTAGTTATTAACTGGCGGGTGGATAAATTCAAGTTCCGCCAACACTTGACCACAGCAATATTTTCCGGTCCGGTGCGAGTGTTTAATCTCGGACTGAAAAACAGCAGAGCGGAATGGTGTCTGCAAATGACACCGTTACACCGTGTGAAGAATAAATCCAGCGGCGGAAAAGACGAAGATTTTGTTTCGTTGTTTGTCTGCTGCAAAAAACTGAAAGAGGGGGAAGAAATTGCTGCGACTCATACGCTACGGTACGTGCACAAAAAACTTTATCATTACAAATTTAGATGAATTATCTACTACTCGTACTACTCGTACGTAATACGTAATTTGTGTAACTTAATTTACATCATAATTATGCGGATGATAATTTTATGTGGTTAACCTACAACTACCGTACCTACTGTATTTGTAAAAACTTTAATGATGATTATTGTATTTCCTTGGGAAGATGTGAGTTTGTCTTTCTGCTTACGAAGGTCATAACTGGCATATACGTACATGTGTGCATGTCACGTTATTTCCATGTGTGTATTTCACGATCAGTTCTGCTATATCGACACTTGAAATTTTGATACTGCCACAAAGAAAATTGTGAATTTTGTTTAATATACAGGTAATCGTGAGTTTACGTAAACAGTGGTTTAATAGCTGGAATACACGTATTGTACGAGGTACATAGAACTTGAGCTCTGTTCAATTGTTTTTGCGTTTTGAAAGTTATATAATTACCCGATGCGCACGTGAGGTGCATTAAGTGGAAATCGCCTAAGGCAGCTAATCGCATATACTGTGTTTACTATATTTTTTGCAGCATTGTTGACGACAAGGGCAACGTTCTGTATGAACCGCCAGCCAGCAACAAACCCTTCGTGCACAGCAATGCCGGTTTTCCTTCTTGGGGCAAAATCGAGTTCATCTCGCACCGGCAGCTTTTCGCTTCCGGTCAGCGCTACATCCAGGACGATGTACTACGCATCCAGGCTGTGATAGAATTTTTAGTACATACCTCCATGTGGATCGCTTAAGCACACCGATGGAAATCGGTGCCAGTTATTTGCTGGATGATCTCCGGAAGTTGTACACATCGCAAGAGGGCTGTGATATGGTGCTGGTGTCGTCGGATAACGGATTATTTCCTGTTCATAAAGCCATCCTCATCGCTCGCTCTAAAGTATTCGCCGCCATGTTAATACATCCGACAACGGAAGCTGAAAATGGTATTTGTCGTATTGATGATACGGATGGAGAGACGATAGCGGCAATGCTGGAATTCATGTAAACAAGTACTGCACAATGCCACAATCGTAATCAGCACATAAGTACATTCTTTCAAAATGCTCGCTTTAATTTATTTGTTTTTGCCAGAGAATGTTGCGTTCAATTCGCTGCGACTACGTATTTTTTAAGTTGATAATGATACCTAACTATACTGCACAAACAGATTCGCTGACCTGCGCGGACCTTCGATCCTTCATGACTGCCCTTTTAAAGTGTGCATGCATTTGAACGCACTGTATAAATTAATTACACATAAGTACCTATTGTAATACCGAATCGGTCTTTTGTACAAATTGTAAGAAAACACAATACTGGTATTACCACTAATAGGTAATTCTGTACAGGTACACTGCAACATGTGCTGACCTTTCCATTATGGCGGAAAAGCTTGTCGTCGCCGCGGATAAATATGATCTCGCGGATCTCCGTGCCGTTTGTCAGGAATGCTTGTGCTCTTCCCTGAACGTGGCCAGTGCCGCTCGCATGCTGATATTATCCAATCAGCATGATTTGAAAAGGCTACGCGAAGCATCTCTGCAGCTCAGTATCCATAATATGTCACAGTTTGCGGAAGCCGGTGGACTAGACGAGTTACGCCAGTATAACACTGAATTCTTCCTGGATGTTTTAGCACAATACGGACTGTTAGCTGGGACTAAAGAAAATGTGGACAGTGAATCTAAAATACCGGGCGATCTTCGTATACATGACGCCTCACAATGATAAATCCACTTAGAAAGGACCTGCTTGCCAATTTTTTTTTATAAAACATTTTTGTTACATACCGATATAAGTGCGTTAATTTGTCCTGGTCGACCTTCTTCGATTATGCATTCACTTAGACATATTTTGTCATATCTATATTTCATCTCATAAGTAATGCGCAGTACGAGTGCACTTATGGAATTGCCAGGTATTACTTTAACGTATCTTTAGTATCAAACTAAGCACTGATGCAACAAATGCAAAAAACGACAACTGACAAATAAATAAATCTATCGGAAACTGACTCTGCCATCTGCACATAAAACTATTTCCTATGATAAAAAGAAAAACAAAAATTTTGTGTGTATCCAAACGGCAACAACATAGACAACAAATTTTAATGTAAAGATACATCACAAAGGATAATCAGCGAAATTAAACCAGAGAACCGGTGGCGTCGTAAATTCCATCCATGTCGCAGACTCGCTACTGCTGACCAGCCAACCATTTCTCAACATCAGCACGCGCAATCTTCAGCTTCGTGAATTCCACACTGTATTCGCGGTCACCAACGCAGACCGTATGTCGTCCAGCCCGTAGCGAACCGTACGTCGCCTTCTTATATTCTCCGTCAATGTATACTTCCACCGGCAAACCACGCTTCAGAATATCCGCGGCACGAACGGAGGCACGAACAGAATGGTGGCAGTTAACGGAGACCAAACCTTTTTCCTCGTGTGCTTCCATTTCGTAAATCCAAACATAATCCACCTCATCAATTCCTGTGACCATGGCAGGATAATAACTGCCTTCGGTGTACAGCACGAAAGTCTTCTCCATCAGCTTATACGTGTATCTGATTAGAAAACGACACGTCACCAGCTTCCGTGGCTCTTTAGAAAAAGCCAGCGGACCTTCCTTGGATGCGTCGGCATCTGTTCCATGCTTCTGTATCAAAACTTTACGCATTTCTTTGAGATTCAGTAGACCACTCTGCAAATATTAAACGCAGTTGGAACCGACCTTGAACAGGTTAATATACATCTAAGCTGCGGGAGTTTTGTGAAATAAATTTGCTTATAACTGCAACTCCAAAAAAAACCAACCAATATTTTTCGGAAAACGTTGAGTAAGCCTAAAGGTATCCATTAGGGGTTATCAGAGCTTTACGCAATCAATGCTCGAGGTGACCTCAGTTCTGCCTCCCACAATCTTGTATGCTAAAGAGAGTGCCGACTGCGGAATGTGGTTGTTTTACGCACTGATTGTTTACGGCAAGATGTGAGTGTTTCCACAGAAGTTAGGGAGGGACCCCTAGGAAATTACGTTACCACCTTATACGTTTCAAACATCCACAGCGTTTGAAACAACACTGAATGAAAATGCTTATTTCTTGCAAAAAATGAAAATAATATTCTGGCTCTTGTTTCCTACACCTTTAATATGTATTTGCATGGAAACATGATCCCGAAAGGTACTTCAGATCTAAAACTATCCTTCAAAAATCAAAATTTCAAAATTTCAGATTCCAAAGTTGGAGGGTGAGAAACTCCTGTTACTGCTCGAACTTGGCTGTGCAAGCTGTATTTTAAGACATAATTAATACCAACCTTAACCGGTCCGTTGGTCAGTTGAGCGTCCGTCAGCAAAGCAAAGCGGATAAGGAAAAATACCGGACCCAGTGCTTGGCGCCGATTGGTTGCAGAAGCAGATACCTTCTTGCCAAGGCAGGCAGCCTTCGCCCATCTGTGCGCAACAAGACAAATATTCAAAAACATTGATACAATTTGAGAAAGAAAGTGATGGTCTGCAGCAAGCCGGTTATCGTTGGTGCAACCTACTCTTCGACAGCCATATAGATGACATTCTCCTCCGCTGACAATGTGCTGCGCTGTAGAATCAACTCCAGCGTTTTGCGCTCCAACTTGATGAAATAATCCGACTGGAAAACGCCCGCGGTGGATGCGTCCACAATGTCCAAACATTTCTCCACCACAACATCACAGTCTGAGTCCAGCTTTTCGCCTGTCAAAATGCACAGCGTTAAAAATATTGTACTGCATTAAAACTAGTATCACCCGCCCTTCTGCATACGGAGAGGGCTTCCAACGTACGCGTACATTTTCTCCAGCATACAATCGAAACGCAAGCTTTCCTGAGATTTACGGTATTAACAAAATAGTCCTCACAGCGTAAAGAAAACGATGCCCTACACGCATAGCGCAATTTGGTACCGTTTAGAAAATGCTTCAAGGGCTGCCTGGAAATATACTATACTCACATTTTCCAGATACATGAGGCAGTTGTCGGCTTTTAAGTCATCGAGAATAAAGTCCGTGCAGTATTCGGCCAGCCATGGCAAGTCGTACTTATCGGCGCAGTACAGTGTCTGCACTGCGTTCTCCGGTTGGAGATCTTCAACGGCACCGGTGTAGATGTAGCTGAAACGGGAAAACACTGGGCATCCATTACCGCAAGCGATCTATGGACGGTAATAAGAAGGAATTTATGATCTTCGTGCGCAGCCGGTGCCTCTTTACAGTGGTGGACAGTCAAAGTGACAGAAAAATTACAACATGATACTATATTTGCGTTACTGGAGTTTGGTTACTGCAATCGCTAAAATTAATACTAATAGAAAAAATAATATTAAATAAATAATAATAATGTTATTAATGTAGTTTGAAAAACATAGTAAGTAATAAAAAAAGGACGAAGCGATCGGTACATATACGAAAACGATGAACCGGTTGGCTGGTTGGAACGAGAAATCGCTCTACAGTAATTACGCATACTCACACATGAAAACATACTGCAAAGAAATCGATTAAGGACAAGGCTAAGAGCGTTTACTTTCGCAAGAATTTTAGACAAATTTAAGAATTTTATGTAATTTCCGCTAGCACCTACCTAAGCATGTTAGTGAACGCGTCTGCAGGAATATCCGGAATGTCGATGGGGATGCCAGCACGCTCAAGCTCCCGTTGAACATCGTGTAGAACACATCGCTGCTGATGCTGAGAGTCAACCTAAGAAAACCAATGTGTTGCCTACTAAGCCAACAACATCCTGCAGCTGGCTAACCCATAACGGAGGTGGACGCTGTTAAACTTCAACCGTACTTATGTGCGCGAAGTCTCTTCACGGCGCCAAACAGGCGTCCCACGGCGAATTCCACATCGCACAGCTCGCTTTTCGATAGGGCATTCTGCCAACGACTGCTGATCTCGGAGACCGTGCCTCGACGCTGGGAATTCACAAAGGATTCGTACTTGTGCGCCATAATAGCGGTTACCGTGAGCAGGTTATGACTGTGCGAAAGTCTAGTTAGGCAACGACGAGTAAAACACTGGACATAGGAACAACGTACATCGTGCAGTACCGTATCTACTGCTTCTAAAGTGATGTTAACCCGAAAAGCGTTATCGAAACCAAAAATCTGGTGTTCTGAAGATGAAACCGATATTACCGATTGAAAAACAACTTCGTGAAAACTGAAACAAAATTGTTACAAACGTGGAAACGAAGCAGAAAAAAACTCGATCTACACTTACAGAAGCACGTCATTACGAATTTACGATAAATTAATCATAAAAATAGGCAGGTCCGGCGCTATTTCCAGTAATATCAGAACTCACTTGTTTGCAACGTTCTATAGCTCCATAAAAAGCAGATTTTCCGTAAAAATTTATGGTGTAATTTGAAAAACAGTAGGACTATAACCGTCAAACTTGATAAAAAGATCAAGTGATTTAAGTGATCAACAGGCTGGCTGGCTGGATCAGCAATGAAAGCGTTTAGCCGTTAGCACAGAAGAGATACTCGTACAGTTGTCTTCCGGGGGCGGTTGCGTGAATCTATGCGCCTAACTCAAACTTGCCGAAAGCACGAACGATTCCTTCCGGCTTGAATAAAATTATTGCTCTTTCACTTCGCCTCAGACTGATTTGTATTAATTTTTCCTTCAAAATTGTTAAATTCCTATCAGGTACATAAGATATCGTCCAACCCACTTCGTATGCGTATTACTATAGAGCATAGATGTCTGCAGTAATAAGTTTGCAGATAAGCACCAATCATACTACGCAACCAAGTAATTTGCAGCACACTGCATTTTGTTAACTTCACAATACAGCAAGCAACAGATAGAAAAACCAAGAACACGATACAAAACGATAAGAATGCCAGCACACCATGCCGCTATCAAAAGTCGTCGGAGTAAATTGAGCGATATAAAATAAATATACAGGTACAAGCAGTAAAAAAAAGCACAGCACAACACACTACTACAAAAGACAACCAAACGAAACCAAGAAAACAGCCAAAAAAGCACAGCCGAAAGCAGCACAACAAACGGGAATAAAAAGTAGAATCTCTGATAAAAAACAAAACAAAAACGGGCTAAATATTTGAGGCAGAAGCAAACACCCCGATATCAAGAGTATGCATTTTACAGGCGATGGAAAACCGGCGCAGACACCACGGACAACAGCACCGGCAGCTTATCCATATCCTTGATCCAGCGCAGCAGCTCCTCATCGGTCATGGGCGCACTGTGGTCCTCCCGCATCCCGTAGCTGGCCAGTGCCGCCAGATCGCCCACCACCATCGGATCCAGATTCCAGTTGTACTTCGAACAGTGACCGCGCGGTGGGATCACGGCGGCGCTGTAATTCCGGGAGGTCATACCATTCTTTCGGCATCTCCAGCCAGCGCTGAATCAGACTGGTGCGCTGCAGTTCCGTCCGGACGCGATTCTTTCGAGCCACTAGAAAACAAAAGCAGGTTGAATTCTCTATTAAATTCACAGTCGTAACGAGGTAGCACTCTGAATACGATCGAAGTTCAGTTAAGTGACCTTTACAATCTTTATAATAATGAGTACAGTACATAGCGTAGGTAATTGTTTTTATACTACGTACTGTATTAGGCTATAAGAAAATTTGGGTGTGCATAGAAAATTCGTAATAATAAAATTAATGTAGCCAAATGAAGCCTAAATCTGCAATATAAGTATACAGTAAGTATTCAATGCTCAACCGTTTTCTGTTGCAACGGTTGAGCATTGAAATTCAGCGTGTAATGCTGCTTGTGTATTCGGAACGGTCGAGAGGCAGCATCAGCTCGATGGTTTGTTTTTGATCTGCTAGTTACCTAGTGTTTCGTTTTGAGTCGGTTGGTAGTTATGTCAACTACTAGCGGAACGTAGTGTTCAGCTTAACGTTCTGCAATGTGTGCGCTATCGACCCAGCGTCATCCCTGTGTTACACATAATTGCCGGTCTTTACCAAGTAGGTATATAACAAACAGTTATTTTATTGACTCTGAAAAGTATACAGTATGTACTAGTAGACCCCGCGCAAACTGCGCGGAATAAATCGGCGATAAATTGTTATTTATGGAAAGCTACAAAGTACAAACCCATGACTGCAAATTTAGTTTTATTGAGCGGAGCGTATAAGAATATTAATAATAATATAGTTTGATTAGTTTCATTGGCAGAGACAAACGGTATTTGCACAATACCTGTTTGGTTATGCTTATCATAACTAATGTCGTAAATTATTCTTTATTTTGGGCCTTTGACCATAGTTGACTGACAGATTGGTAGCAGTTAGAATGTATCACAGTTTAATAATTAAATGTTTAAGGCCGTTTTGAGAAAACATTGTCGCGTTCCGCTGACTTGACCCGAAATTAGACCCGAAAAGAAAATTTCCAGGAATATGTCCTTTTGTTTGCAATTATAAAACAAAGTTTTAAGCTTCTCGCAAATCAATCAGCAGCATATGCCGGTCAGTTGTCAAGAACTACAAATAGAAAAAAGCTCCATAATTACTGAAATTTTGTAGCCGTATTTCAGTACTTCTACTGGTTCAGATACCATTCGGAGCTTCGTTAAATTTTAGTTAGTGCGTCCCGACAAAACAATCCAGTGATGCGACCGTACGACCACCGATGTCAACCTTTAGACCACTTAGAATAAAAAATACTTTCCAGTTTCCTCCAACTGTTTACACACAATTTAAACCTGATGAAGACTTCAAAATTTCGTTGTGTTCTTTGGTGAACTTTTATTGATTAACGTCGACAACTTAAGCACAGTGTCTTGCTTGCGACCCCGCTGCAGATAGGCGCCGCCTATGATTCCGCTTTCTGTTACGTGCTTATAAAATTTGTTTCAAGTTTGGCAAAATCTATGCATTTGTATAGTACATCCCCAACGCATTGTCGCCTCCCAATCCAACCCCAATCCCAACCCCAACCCATCCCAAACCCAACCCATTTAACGCCAACAACATCCCCAACCCATTAAACGCATTGTCGCTTCACGCTTACGTCCTCACAGATGGTTCATTAATGTAGCTTGTCGCACCCAGGCGCACCGGAGAGGGTATTCCCTAATTTTTTTGTTTTGACCTTTGATGGGAGCTGATCTGACGGAATGCTTTATAGCTGGCGGAAAGATAGATTAGAATGCGGATAAGCTTCGCTTTTTAAATTTTCTGTTTATGTTAAATTGTTGAATGCTAAAATGCGGTTTTGTTTTCATAAAACCGTTTTTGTCTACGTTCCTTAGCGGAAAAATATCCCTTCTGAAAAATATTTTTACCTTCTCTACCTTCCCCCCTGCTGGAGGCTCGCGCTCCTCATTTAGGTCGCCGTGAAAAGATTTGCCTTGGGCCGCTTTCTCCCCGGGCGGCGGTTAGACTCGAATCCTAGTGCGTACGCCCGGTGGGACTGGGACTCGCTGTTTTGCTCGAGTAGTCCACATCATTTCCAGTCGAACACCAAAATTCTCAAAATCGACTTTCAGTCTCTCACAAAATGATGTTTATTTGAGATTTGAAAAAAGGATAAAATATTCCACTTTATTGGCACGGCAGCAAAAGCCAACCGCCCTTTGGAAGCAGTTTTAAATTTTAATTAATACATCTAATCAACCCGTTGCGAAAGGCAACTACTTTATCTTTGGAATTTGGGTCGCTCCCACTTTCCAGGAGATTCTGCATGTTCAGTCTTTAAGAAACATCACTTTCCGAGCCTACATATTTTAAAACTAACTCTTAATAAAATCTTATGAACTAAAGGCAGTCCGATAACTAACGGACACCAAAGTTCCATCAAGTGTAGATGTCTTTTTCTGTGCTGTTCGTGCCAGTGGTGGCTTGGGTGGGTTTGCAGTGGTGGGTTCTGCACTTTTCCCGTAGACTTTGTATGTTAAGTTCTTTTAAGATTTTCTCTAAAACTTCACATACTTTCAAAAAACTAACTGGTTTCTGCAAATCTGCAAACTCGCGGCTATTGAATGACATATAGACATCAAAGTTTGGTTCAGTGGATCGCTCAAAAAAGGGTGACAGAAATGGAATTCGCTAAGGCTTATTTTATTAATATATAGGATTGTACAAGATTTATTCCCATTCCGCGACAGCAAAAGCGGGAAGCAAATGCTTCGAATTAAAGTAATATTTCGCACTACAGAGTGTATTCAACAATTGTGCTCGTGCTGGATGTACTTTACTATTAAAACTATTATTTATAATGTATATAGACTGCTTAATTATGTGATGCACGAATATAATGGGTGCTTGTATTCGTTCGTCCTAATAAATGGTCAACGAGGCAAAACTGCTTCCTGTACCGTCGTATGCAGTAACGGTACTACTATTGTAATAAAATTTCACAATCGCAAAATTTCCAGAAACTGCATTCAGTCGAAACTATGGTAAGTATCATTACTGTAACACTTCCAATCTGTGACAAGTTCAAGTGTACATCGACGGATTGTGGATGCCGATGTAAATTTCTAATGGTCAGTTCTGGCAGTAACTAACCTGCGTGCTTATTATTGAAGAGAGGAATGCTGTCGGCTGTACCTTTTGCGCGACGGTTGGCCACGCAATGACATTCGCTTGATGACGCCGGATTTGGACGGGACATTCAAAGGGCCATCGGCTGTGGAATGCCTGTACGTCACACGACGACGACGTCCCTGAAAGATAATAAAACTGTTGTCCCATGACGCTATGAAATCAGATGTGCACTTTGTAGTATCACTACCGTAGTATGTATAGCATTTCTGGCCATGAGATGTTTTGTAAGTGCGTTACTGCAAGCAGTAAGCGCTGCCATAAGTTTACATACAATAATATTATAAGTAGTCGTAAGTCGTAACGTAAGTAATATGCATCATGCAGTAGCCAGTAACAGGTAAGTAATTTAAACTTTATTAATTTTATACCCTGAAAAATGTAAGCATGAACGCACTGTAAAAGTACAAACTTGTACATACGTGTTTAGTACAGTGACGATTTTACTTATTTGTTTTGCTTTACCGACTTTGTAATGCTGAATGCATAACTCAAAGCGTTCATAGTAACTTCATACAGTACTCCGATACATCTGCCAACTGCTAAAAAGTTAATACAGTATTTCGTCAACTTTAATCATTATAAACAGACACCGATCGTCACCTTGCTACTGGAAATGCTCTCCTGAGTCTCCTCATCGGACTCGGAATCTTTTTTCATCACACGAACACTATTGCCGCTCAAGGGTAGACGTTTGACGACTTTCCGGGCACATCGCGCCAACAACTGCTGATCACCCGAGCGCAGATACTGATGGTAGTACAATCCAAAGCGTAATTGCCCTGCCCATCCAGATCCAGGAACAGATCGCGCTTTTTCTTGAAGTCATACAGATTAAACTGGCGGATGAACGACACCAGCTTGCCTGTCTGCAAAAGCAAAAATTAAGACATGCAAATGCTGGCACATAATGCAAACTGAATCCACCAGTACTACAGTAGTCGAACAGCCTGTCACGTACTGTGTGGCAAAATGGTTTACCCTAAATAGTGACTAAATACAATACATTGGGATTAGCCCGAAATTGCTGAAGAGTTTATCGTTAATTATAATCGCCACTCGGCTCACAACCTTTACACTCGGTGAATTCCTGTAACGTTTTAACACTGCTTTTCCTTCCGTACACAACCTTTAAGCCATTACTTTCATTCCGTTCGCTACTTTAATTGGTAAACGCAGACGAATGTTTCATTCGTTACATCAGGTTTGTTTGTTTAACAATATTTTCCTTCAATTTGTATTAATGTTTGCAATAAGTTTGATACTTTCTGTGGCATATGCTCTGGCACACAAAATACGTATACTGTCTCCGCAATAATTTCTGGACATAAGGAATTACGTATTCTCACGTCCACGATAATTGTGCAAGTAGCCTTGTAGATCACGGTGCGGAAAACGCACTGCAAAATTGTTTGGCGATTTTTCGCATGGAAAGTGCAGAGCAATTTAAACTCTATGAAAAAAAATATCTTTAATAGGCAGCAGCCATCAATCAAAATTACTACTTTGTATTACAAAAAGTTCAAGCGCAGTGACGATGACACTTTCTTACGATGAATAAAAATTTATATACTATTATGTGCCTTGAAAAAGGGAAGTACCAAATGCCAGAATTATTTGCTTAAAACCGGAAAACGACACCTATATCATTGTGCAATAATCTTTAATAGGATTCTGAGGTTGTTTTCTTGGTGCCTCATGAGGCGCTGTAAAGCACTTTAAAACGATATAAGTATTTTCAAATAGCAGCGGCAATAAGTTACCGCGTTGTTTGATATTAATTAGTATTGTTCTAACTGCTAAATAAGTAGTTAAAAAATAATCTTCAAATTTTGTATAAAAATCAATTGTTTATTTCCAAAGCAGTTCGAACGCTTCCAATACAGAATAAAGGCAGTGTTATAACGTTGCCTGGCTGAATCTCGGTTGCCAAGCATTAAAGACTGTGCTTTTGAAAACGGTGCAGATGGTGACGGACTGATACGAATATAAGATCTCGAGTTTCTGGTCAGCGGTGCAACCTTTATGTTGCCATGCAACTACCGGTACTGCACACGAACAAACAATGATTCATAAGGGAAGCTTAACAAATAACTGTTTGCTGTCTCCACAATAATTACGGATAATTGGTTTAACCGTTTAATTAAACCAAAATAATTTCAGACTAAATATTTATATAGAAGTCTACTGTCATACGTGTACGTGTAGTTTGGTTTTCATGGTGGAGAATGCATGCTAAAATATAATCAAGAACCGAAAGAAAACTACTGCTATGCTGGCGAATATAACTTCCCAGGGTTGCCGCTGTATGTACGGTACCTTGAACAGATGCGTGGTGCCGTAATTGGCGAGGAGTCCGTCTTCAAACTCTGCCAGATTAATCATCACCATGCCCTTCTCATCGCCCCACGTCATGAAACGCGACAGCAGATTGGTCTCGCAGATCAGCCAGATCTTCTCCGGGAAGATGAGCTCTTCCATGCGCGTATTGAAGGTCCGCCGGCTGGCTTCTTCCAGGCTGGCCAGCGCATTGACGAGGCTCATATGCATGTTCTCCTTCTGCCGCCATGCATTCTCTTTGTACGTGGGCTGACTACTGCGCACCATCTTCCCCTGTCACATGCAAGCACAGGAAAGAAGTAATAGCAGTAGTTGGGGGTTAACTGAAGGAAAAGAGTGCGTATGGCAAAACAAATCCCCAACAAACAGAGATAAAACAAATAAGGTTAAGCAATGCAGTATTCCCACGCTGTGCGATTGAGCAACGGTTGGGAAATCTTCGTCGGATCTGTACGAGCTGCCCTGACGTGGAATAACGAATCGGAGAACGTTTACGATTGGTCCATATGGGTGGGCGGGCTTTCGCAGCGAGCAAACCGATTGGCTGCCGGGCAAAACTATTTGCTGTACAGGGAATTTCGCCCTGTTACGATATACTTATTAATATTCTCATAATTTCACGATTATTTTCAACATTTCTCGCTGTTATTTCGTCCCTGTAGTGCAAACTGCGATACTGCTTTCATTAACCATGTAGATTATTATAATGCAAAATTTGATTACAGTAATAGTAAAAACATCAAACAGGTATCTATCTGAGAACTCATAAACATTAAGCACGGTAACAGACCAACAGTTCAACAAAATCAAATTTTTATGCGTAAGAGCAAACGGCATTTAAATTTCATTCTACAGTAATCATAACTAAATTCTTCTGAAACTGCTCCCCACTAACCGCACCACACTAAAGCGTGAAAAACTACGAGTAGTAATGCAGCTTCGGGAAAACGACTGCTTCTTTGCGTTTACTGCAAAGTATAGCAAGAAAAACACACCCGATCCAACTCAAATGTTTTAATACTTTATCAAAACGCAGCTCCTCAAACCATCACCTGTGAGTCTGTGACTGAGCACAAATGCTTCTCACAAAATTAACACACGTAAAATCTTTGAAAGGCTTACCCAAGCCAACTGAAGTTTCAAACATGATAAAACCAAAGGAAACCCATACACACATCCACGTATCAAACTGAAAAATAAAAACATTTCGACTCTTTCACCACACTAAAACTGTACAAAAACACAGCTCAGAAACCACGAAACCAGCCGGTTCAAAGAGAAAATTATAAAACCTTTTGCAACCGCCGCGCGCGCAGAGAAAAAACAAAACTGAAATGCAAGCATAAACACAGACGACCCGTACAACTGTACACATTTGGCAAAACACTGTTGACGAAAAAATTACACAAAATTATCAACTCATCCGTCCATATTTCAACCATTATTTGCGGGCGCGGGCATCCGGCGAAATGTGGTACTTGGGAGCACCCAGGATACGGCCCAAATTATCGGCATCATGAAAGTCTCCCTTCAGTCCACTGCCGCCACGCGGTCGGCTTAAATGAAACAGGCTCGGATCGTCGCTCAACTAGAACAGAACCATTGCGATGGCTTACTACAAAATCGGTCAAAATTCACGCCTGCTATGCAAGCCGATTAGAAAACGTTCAAATCTGCTAACATGCAATTGATTTAATAATTTCGCTAATGGAAGTTCGCTATAATGTAAGCAGCCTCTGTTTCCAAATTCCCATTATGATCAATTTCGAACTTACACTGTCCACTTGGATAATAGGTGCCGGTGGATAAGCAAAATTTGGGCTTCCGGCAGGAGCTGGTGAGAACTGATCGTTTTCCGATGGGTCAGATGAGCTTGGACGCGTCGGGATCTGCTGGAAAAAAATTTAAACAATGAATTCATCTTGAATATCAAATGAATTTCAAATGGACTTGACCGATAACACACAGCTGATCTCCGTTTATCACTGGGAATGAAATGTAGCTAAATTCGATGTACATTAACCAGACACTCAGAAATGCTAAAAAATATATTTATCATTAATATCCAGTCAGAATTAAACTCAAAAATATTCCATCAATCACCTGACGATCAGCCGGCAAATACGGTGGCATCGGATTCCATGCGGGAGTCGGACAGGGCATCGATACGGAATTTCCCATCGGCATTCCCCACGGATAATTCGGCATGGGATAAGTCAACGGCCAGCGCGACATGGGATCCGCAGCTCCCTGTACAACAACCAAAAAATATTCAGCTTCATAACAAGCAGTTTTCAAGTTGACAAAGCAGCCGTTATCGGCATGAATTTCCGCCGTGCCGCATGATCATATTCTCACATCTACCGACAAAAGATGTCTTACTGGATAGTAAGGTGAAGGATAGAACGGATAGGTGCCGGGAAGGGTGCTACCGGGAAAACCGAACGGATAGGACGGGAATGAGCCAATGGTAGGACACATCATCATGGATGAACCGAGCAGACCAGCCGGACTCTGATTGCCGTTCAGCGATAGTGAATTCAGACCTGTCAAATGAAAGACATGTTCACAAACTACCCAATCACCGTCGTTCTCATCAAATGAAATTATCGTATCTACACAAGGCTGGTACACTACAATACACAAAGGCTTAACAATTTAATATGTAAAAGTTCCAACATTTTAACTACCAGGTTAAATCTCGCGAATTACGGTTTCACAGAAAACAAAGATAATCGACAACGTGCAGTTTGTGAGCGTTGTAAAACACAAAAAAAATCTTTAAAAGTATTACAGTTATCGTTAATTACTAATGCACTGTCAAGCTAACGAATAAAAGCAAATCCAACGTGACTGCCGAGTATCCTCACCTCTTGCATGATTCTCCACGCGACGATAGGCTGGCTGCACTACCAGCTTATGACCTTTAATACTCAGTGATTCCCCAGCACCCTATCGAACATCAAAGCGATCAAGAGAATACAGTCACCATGGCACAAAGGAGCATAGAAGCAGTCAGAGTAGAGCAGCACTTACAGCTCGCAGCGCTTTGTCCGTGTCCGACGGTGTCTTGAACGTCACAAAGCCATACCTAATTTCGACCAGAAAAATTCTCGAATAAGAATCGATCACTGCACAGTTCAGAAGAAAACTCACCCGCGAGCATTTTCATCGCCGCGCAACTTGATCTGCACCTCCAGCATCTCACCAAATGATCCAAACAGTTCGCGCAGATCATCCTCATTAATCTAGGAAAACAATAAAAAAACTAAATTAGTTTTTCGTTGTAAAAATTTTAAAATGGCTCCGATTAATTTTAGCAAATGGAAGTGATGCAATAAATAATATCTTGTATCGAAAAATTAGTTTCTTTCAGTTTTAACAGTGCAGATAATTTCATTGCACAACTTGAGCAACAACTCAATCTTGAAACGCAGACGTACAATTTTCCTAAAATACGGAGCGAACTTAAATTTTGTTTTAATCCTTTCAAAGTTGGTAGTGGCTGCCTTTCTCTTCAAAACAGCCACTACGGCAGGAAGAACGGGAGAAATTATTATCAAACACTTTTTTAAAACAGATAACGCCTTTTTGAATTTTTTAGAGTCAAGCTGATACGAAAAAGGATAAATGCATTAATTTTAAAATGAAAAATTGTGCAATAAATCTATCCATCAATATATCATTCTACAAAGTGTAAATTATAACATAAATTCATAAAACCCAACTTAATCCAAAATTCCATTTTTAGTGAAGTACGGAAATAAATGGCAAGCTGATAAAAATTACAAAAATGACAAATCCATGATACTGTCATTTGTGGAAACTTCCGTGTTACACCGTTGACTGCAGTCGCTCAATAACTGCGCACGTAAAAAAGCGTTCTTACAATCTTACCGATTTGTTCAGGCCACCGACGAAGATGCGATTCTTTATCTCCAGGATCTTCTCGTTGGCCGCGCGCAAACGTCGGACGGGAGCGGGCTTCCTGGCGCGAGGAGTTCAGCGAGCGGTCATGCTGTTTCATGGCATCCGGCTCCATGTGATCAGTCAGGAGGCTGCTGTTCTGACTGCCACTGCGTCCGTTCAGCAGGTCGCTGCGTAATCCCTCGGTAGGAGGACGTCGCAGAGGCGCATCCTCACTAGCCGTAGCAGCTTTTTATCAAGTCGCTGATAGTACTGAAGGTCGGCCCGGTTCCCGATACATAGCTGGGACTATTAGTGTACGCCATTCCTGTCGCAGTGTGCTTAACCAAAAAATTGTACAAAAACAAACTGCACCGAAAAAGAACCGAGAGAATGGGAAAGAATTTCCTTGGTTAACCGAAGAACCGACACCCGAGGAAAAGGCCACAAAATATGGGCAAAAATGTTACCAGAAAACGTGGAGCTGCGAAAGAACCGGCCCCGAAAATGAAAAATTAGCAACTGAACAAACTCATCCGCGCGACCGCCTGGATCTGCTCTTCTGCGTTTTTCACTCGTCCAGGAATGAAAGCCGATTTTATCAGGTCTGATTTTCAAGGGCGACGACCACACAGGCTGTCCGTCACGTATCAGTGCAGACAACAAAGACATGAATCAGTGCTGGGTTGGTACGCAGATGCAGGCGATTATTACCATGCGCTCATGTGGGTTTGCATTGGATGCTGTGTTAATAAAATGTGGCTGAAACTCTGGTGGATAGGTACATACGTACATACCTGGGCAACTGGCGGCTTTTTAGCCAATCGGCTTCATTCAGCGGTTTGTATGGTTCATTCATAATTCATTCTGCGGTCTGATGTCATTCATAGCGTAAGTAGGTATGTATGCCGGTGGGCGGTGGCCCGGTACACCGTACAGACACGGGCCGCACGGAATGCAGCGACTATTTACTATGCCGGCCTAAAAGACTGCCAGCCGGTGTAGTGAGTCGAGCCGGTGTAGTGAGTGAACACATTGATATCAGACTATTGAAGCATTTTTCGGTGTTATCGTTAAGTACTTCCGGTGGGGTCGTCGGGTAGTGGTTTTACAGTGCTCGTGTTAATATAATATTTTTATCATGTTTTAATATATGCGCCTAATTATTTGAGCATGCATGAAAATCTGGAAACTTAACTTAGTTTTTGCCATGGCCAACTGCTTCAGGCAATAATATTATCGCGGTGCACAAAATAAAGCTTCTTCTTATGGTTAGCTGTAATAATATAAATCAAATAAGTAAAACTACATCTATAACTTGTAAGTAATGTGTCTTCCAAGCTTATTGTACACTTGTGCACTGCTGTACATGCTGAATCCTGCAGACTGAGAATCCCTGGAAAATGTTGCACAGTTGCACTCATGCTTTTAAAGCACCGTAAACGTTTGGATATCTAAAATACTCTAACCAGTAAGTACGTATGCGTTTCAGTTATTATAAGACATAAGTGAGAATGAATTACCTAATTTTTGTTTAATTTCATACGGTCACAATAAAACCGAAATATTAATATGCAGTATTTACAACAAACTGGATGTTAAATACGTTGTTCATATGCAGGGACAAAAAGAAGCGAGCAGTTGAATGAAATACTGAATTCTGAAGAAAAAACAATTTCTCGTCAGATTGAAGCATCCGTGTGGCGCCCACACGGTGCAATATAGACAACAAGAAAACTTTGCCGGTTCGCCCGTTAAGTATGTAATTGCGTTCATACTCGCAGATGCTCCATGTGATGTGCAGCGGCATAAGCCGATCCGGTTATTAACGGTCGTCCAGTCAGACTGGAAATTGGCGGCCTCTCATCTACCGCATAATACGACTGTTGCATCACCGGCGTGCCGGCGCCCGCCGTCTCCTCCTGATTGGCCGCCGCCGTAAAGTAAACGACTTCCGGGCATAAGCGGGCCTTCTGCACCGAACTGATGTCAACAATGGGCTCAATATCCGTTGAACGCGGCTGTCCCAGGAGATGCTTACACTGCTCCTTGAAGACCGTCCACCGCCGGGAGGATTTACAGTGACAGCACAGTACCAACAGGAAGGCCAGGAGGAACGCGGTCACCAGGACACCGATGGCCACGGCCACATGGTGCAGCTGCTGGACGCGGTGGTATTCCGTGTAGTTCGTATTGGGATTGCGTACTATACGATATACATATAGTCATATACCAATGAGCGATGAGAGATAAAGAACCACAAATGAAATGAAACAATATATAACTGTAAATATAAAAAAATGTGCTTGTAAGTTTTAACTACAAAAAATGTATCACTACAGGTATATAGAACTATACTCGTACATAAAACGTATGCAATTTTACATAACTACACTCGTTTATTAAAACAAAAATATACAACCCCAATATATATCCGTCCTACGTATTCTCTAGAGAAACAGGCAGCTAGACTGGTGAGTTGTAGGCTTGCAGAAAACCCACAGACTGATGAGTTTTATAAACTGTAGCGTTTTCAATTTCCCAAGATAGTTGAGTATGAGAGTAAACATGGTACGAGTATGTTGATGTTACTGGATTGATGTTTGTGTAACATGCTGGATTTCGTTTTAAGGGACGCATGCACTGCGGCGCCCGATGACCGGCATTTAAGCAGGCCGCGGGAATAAGAGAATTTATGGAGGATGGGATTGATTTCCGTGTATTACGCGCACCGGAAATGAGATACCGGACTTTTAAGAGCTACTTAACACATTATTATCCCCGCGTAATGCGGGCAATCTGCGCGTTTTCCTTTATTAGAGACGTCAGTGTCCTATGCGTGCATGTCTTAAAAGAAGGATTACTTATGCTAGAAAATGTCAAAGACGAAATCGATTTGAAATTCATTAAAATTCTGGGTAATATTTACCTTTTGCACAGATCGATATTATCCAGCATATATTACTCTTATGATATACGCATTACATATCCAGTATTTGCTTACTTGTTAAATGCGCAACATAATATAACTAGTGCCCGGACCTACTGTATACAATAACAAGCGATAACAACATAGTCCAAATTCTAAAATCGTTGTGTACTGTGAACCTGCATATATAATATAATTATGTGCTAATTATTTGCAATTATTTACAAAGTGGATATTTTCACAGAATTCGTTATATAGAACTCAAGATTTCTTTCGTCATAATTCGTTATAAAAAAACTCAAGCAGACGCAGACGTAGCAGACGCTGTACAAGCAGACGCTTAAGTACTGCACTCCTAAAACGGTTTAAATTATCTAAAATAATCCGAGGATATGTATATTTTTCAGCTTCGGTGCAATAAGCATAAAGTTTTACTGCTGCTGCTATGCTGCCTTTCAGGGAATCAGTTACATGATGCTTAACATGAAACATGTGCAACTAAATTTCTCGCTTAATTTTTTAAAAAGATTTTAAAATATTACGTAGAGAAAAAACGCCTGGTTACCCCGGCATGCAATATGTCATGGATATCGTAGCAGCGCAATCTGATTAACATTTTCAATTGCGCTGACCGGCGCGCATCTGTGGCGTTCCACTTATCCCTGCGATTCATCCCTTTACTCGTTTCCCAGAGAAACTTCCATTGAATCTTTAATAAGTTAAAGTGGAATACGAAATGAATGGGTACTATTTTTTTAGCCCTCAAAAGAAATCAATAGTATCTTGTCTGGAAGTTATAAGGGAAAGATTCCCGGAAAATAATATCCCATTTATAAGCCATGGGCCAATCCCGATTAGCTGCCATCTGGATATGCTGTGCTTAGCGAAATCATTACGTTCCCACCAATACCCGCCTATCGACGCGGCAGTACAGCCGGCCAGCATTGTCGTATAACTGCATTTAATATTAATCAACCGGCGACAGACACGCAATTAAAATTCCATTACGACGCCTATTCATTGGCGTTAATTGCAAGATAACGATTTCCACTTTGAAAGCTCTAAACCGCACGAAAACCTTTCAAAAAAAAAGCAAATCTTAATAACCTAAAGCGGCATGCATAACGGCGTAAAAGATAGAAAATAAGTACTTTATACGTCCCAGTGCAAATTCAATCCTTATATTGCGTATTCACTTCTTCCATGTGCCGTTTATGTGCTGAAAATGATGTTTTTAAATTATTTAGATTTGCGTGTACATATTTAATCTGTGTTGAAAGGTTTCTGAACATGGACAGCTTTCCGAGTCAAAAACATTTACTAAAAATTGCAATAAAATTAATGAATAGGCGTCGAAATGGAATTTCGATTGCATGTGAGTTATTTATTATATTTATCAAACATCGTTCAAAGCTGATATTAAACCTTCTTATTAACGGTAAAAATTATAACGGAAAAATTTTAAACTGTCTTTACTTTCACCTTTCCAGGCAGTATAACGATAACAACATTTTAAATGCGTATGTGTTTTTTAAAAGCTGCCGTACAGAACATATTTGCGTTTATCGAGAATATGAAAATTATATAAGTAAGGTCATCCCATCCTAACCCCGTGTGCAACGTTCAGAGCAAATGCTTTTTTAACTACACAATTATCCGACACCAGAAATCGATAACAGCATGACAAATGCCATGACACTTACCCGAACAATCATCCCGGTCCACTCCACCGGACACAGACAGATATTACTGGGAAACGCCGCGATACACGATCCTCCATTGAAACACACCGTCTGCGTGCAGGGTGTGGGCAGGGTGGACAGCGGCTCGTAGATACACGCAAAGGACACATTGGCCACCACCTTACAGGCGTACTGCAGTGGACAGGGATTCCGACTACGGATCCATCGTGGAACGCATAAACGACATCATATACGTCGCCGCGTTGACGGTTTAATACCAGCTGCTTTAGCAAAATCAAAATAAATTCCCAAGGAAAAGCATTAAGAGGCAAAACGCTACAACAGCCGGCACAATCCCCATACCACCATGCCAGCAATCAAGCGTGACAGCTCGGTGATTACCCTCAGCATCTAATATAAACTCCACATTGCACCGATATATATACACAGTACATACAACAGATACCAGCCGGAGAATTGGATGCGGATACGAAATCAAATTTAAATCTCTCAACTTGTCTACTACACACTGACACTGGGCCCGCGTTCCTGATCTACGAAACGGGGGGAAAAACGCCGGATGATCCGCGCGTATTGGCCATTGATTTTGTTTAGCTTTGATAGAATCCCTGCACATCTATACACAGTTACACATACTCCAGTCTATCTCGTTCCCATTTCCACTCCCCATCTCTCGCTCTCCCTCTCATCTGATGATCATTATCGTAAAACAGCACATCCTCCAACTGCTCAAGCACAGGACGGAGACAATTTCATCCCCTAATTCACTGTCACATCCGCTCCACTGGTCATTTGTCTTGCCGGGAATTCTCCGCTATCAGCTAATGCACAGCCCAACACAATCACAATGCCCCATTGCTGCCGGCTGACAATTGTGCCGATTGCTGATAAAACCCGTACTTGAATATATACCCAACCCGCAATCTCTCCTGAACACCATTTACGCCACTAGAATAATAAATAACGCGAGTCGACTGCAGCCGGGGAAAACGGCGGCAAACGCTAATGCCGGCTAATTTGTTTTACAGCCCGGTCCTGTAAAAAAGTTTCCCACAATAAAAGCAATCAAATTTTATTGCGGTCTACATGCCGGTCATAATATCAAAAATACACATTACCAAACATACCGGCGGATCATTAAACTATAAAATATACAGAATACTCCATAAAACGCTAAACGTGCAAGTATTATCCAACCCAACGCAGACCACTGTACAAAAAAAGGTA